CTTCTACCAACTTTTGCAATCAATGGATTCAAATTTGTTAAATATTCACTTTTCGAGAAATTGCAAAAATGGGTATTTGCTCGATTATTAAAAGTTGCTTGAAAATTAATCAAAATCATGGAGAGCTTGAGAATTGAAAAGATTTGCTGTACTTGCTTTTAACTTACTGACTTAGTACAGCTACACTTGCAGTGTTTAACTCAGCCTGGCTTTTTTAATACAATGTATTCGCTTAATTAGTAAGTATGATAGTACGGTAACAACGGCACTTTGTGTGAATGGCGAAATACCAGACTCCACTTCCGGTGTATTGATGGCAAAAGGTTCTTCTCCGATTAGTGATTCCGGTAAACAGGATTCCTCAGAGGTTAGTTTTTCAGACCAATTTTTGCATTTCGATGCTATTTTTCCTTCAAACCGAACTGATGAGGCACTTCAAATATTGGTTTTAAATTCAGATATTTGGTAGCGAAAAAATTGATGAAGTTAGACGTGGTGTTGAAAATGAAAATGTCCAAGAAGCTTCTACAAGATTTTTATTTTTGGCTATTAAATGGGCTAAAAATCTTCCATCATTTGCGTCACTGTCACTTCGTGATCAGGTAAAATGGGATTAATACTATTGAATAATATCATAGCTTTTATAATTTTTTGAGAAGAATGATAAGTTACTTTCTCTTTTCAAAATATTTCACTAATTTCCGTTTGCTATAGTTAAAATTGCTGAAAGAAAATTGGTGCGATCTTTTCCTCCTCAGTGTGTTCCAATGGTCACTTCCAATGGACAAATGTCCCTTGCTGAATGCTTTGCAAACTGATCCGTCCAGTTTTCGTTATTTGAACGATTTATTCTTTCGGATTCGTAGTTATGGTATTGATCATGGCGAATTTGCTTGCTTAAAGGCCATAGTGTTGTTTAGGCCAGGTAAACTTTTTTCAAATATTTGTTGCATTATTAAATTTGCTTTTCTTCAAATTTCATTTCAATTCTAAATCCTTCAAGCGAAATTGAAACGGTAGTGTCAAAATGCTATGACATATGGAAAGTTAAAATTAAATCTGTGTATTAAAGAGAAGTTAGTGCAATTCAAATTCCAATACTATTCGAGTTTTTTGAACTCATTTGGTTTCTTCTCAAGTGTTTTTACTGCTGACACAAAGTTCAGTTGCTGTAAATTATGCATAAAAATTTCAAATTCTAAGAAACGAGAAGTTAAAAAAAATCAGGAATTCCTTTAAAGAAATCAATCTTTGAACTGTTTGAAAATGAATTGATCAGGAAAATTTTCTAATTTTTCGATAAAATTTCACTTCAACCCACTTCATTACAAGAACAATATTTCCTACATCTTTAATTTTCAATAAGAAAATGTTTGTTTAAAAAAGTTTTTTTAATTATAATAAGAATAAAGTTTGTTTTGAGCAAATAAGTATTTTATATATATTGAGAACATTTGGTTTTTTTATATTATCATTCACATCGGATATCTACGTCATCTACAATGTCTCTTTCAATGTTTATCAATTTTGTTTTTATGCAGCCAAAATGTTTACTTTTGGCTTGTCCGATTATTTTTAATACAAGTGTTCTCCTGTATACAATGCTTTTGCAATTGCTTTCAAATCATACAATATATAGCTCAAAATTCCTTTTATTATATTATCATTTTACATAGAAGGAACACTTCAACTTAACTATTTGACAAAAAAATCTCCTATGTTCTTATTTCTAATAACAATAAGCATTTCTCTCTCATCTACTATATAATAATCATAAGTAAACAACAAAATTAAAGTGTAATTAATTTAACGCTCAGAATTTGATTTTGAATTGATTCGACTATAAGATGAGATGATGTCAGTTTCAACGGATGATTTAATATCCATTTAAGGATTGAATGAATAAAGAGAGAGGTGGGAGAAGAGGAAGACAAGGAACATAAGGGAGCCATTATAAGTGGCAAAATAATTGAGATGACGGCGGGAATGATGGCGGCCTAGGCTACAGTAAAAGAAAGGATGAAGTAAAAAGCTAATTAAATCTATTCTCTTCCATGCTGTCATCCCACCCCTATTTTACTGGATAACATCCTTTCTCTTTTCTTCAAAGATTTGATTAAAATTGTCATCCTGTTCAACCAACTCTTTTATCCTCTTAAAATGTGATGAGTTATTTTAATAAATGTTTAGTTTTTGAATTTTTTGGTTTTTTTGCAGTTAATTCATTTATTTACTGTCTTTTTTTTTTTTCACTAAATTCGTTGGCATACTTATTTTAAAACTTTGCTAGTATTCGTCTTGTGAAATATTTGTTAAAATTACAGTAATATAGGAATATAAAACGATCACTAATGCTATCATTCTCAATTAAATTCATAAATTATTATCTCAAAATCCTATTTTATATACTTACGCAAACAATTTGGCCTAAGTGCTGATTAAGTTTTGGATTAGGAAATTTCTGTACTAGTTGGATTTTTCTGTTTTATAAATATTTTCTTAATACCTTGATTTAATCTATGAATACTTTAGAAACAAGAGGATTAAAGAATCTAGTTCAAATTGAAGATCTACAAGATCAAGCACAGCAAACACTGGCCAAACATACAATGAATTCATCACCAGCAAGGTCTTTCTTTTCTTACCTAAGTTTAGTTCACAAAGTTTGCATGAAAAATTTCTCACTTAAAGTAAGTTTTTGTTTAAAAAGAAGGAACAAACATATCGTGCAATTATGTATATATGAGTCAAGTTAGTTATGTTATTTACTAATATTACTTCATGCGTGTTATTTCAATACAACTATGCAGACACCACAGATACAGCAGTGGTGTTAAGACATGATACACTTGAATTTCGTTTAAAAATTGCTATTTCAGATTTGGCCGATTACTTCTTCTGTTACCACTCTTGCGAACTATAAGCGCTGAGAAAATTGAGCGAATGTTTTTCATGGCTACATTTGGAAACACATCAATCGATCAAATCATTTGTAAAATGTATAACGGATGAATGAATATGTTTTTCAAATGAGTGTGCGTTTTTTAGATTATTTTTACTACTAAGGTTTTCTCTTTTAATTGAAGACAGTAGTTTAGTTCACAAAGTTTTAATAGCATTTTTAATAGCAGAATTAAAAGTATTTCCTCGATTTTTGCAAGATTAGATTCATTATCAGCAACATTTACTATAACAATGTAATCAGCAAATGTTAAAATCATAAATCCTTTGGAAAATTGAAAATTGATCTTCCAAAATTCAGTAAACATTAATAGTGATTTCTTTTTCTGAGAGAGCATGATCAGCTTAAAATCGCAATTTATAAATTAAAAGTCGCTAATTATATTGTCAATAAAGTAAAGATGATTGACTGTTAAGAACATTTTTAAAAAAGTGGTAGTATGTGGCATGAAATTGAATGAATCTATCAGTGGTGAATATGCAAATCGAATTTAGGCATTTGTCCACTTGTTCCATAGTATCCATCGTATTGTTAAAATAAAAAAAACCGCAGGCAACAGAAGTGAAAGAAAAAGTAGGTTTGTAATGACAAGTTATGTACCCCATGCATCACTAATTCAATCATACTCAATTTCAACATTGGGAATGTGTCACGCAAATATAGAAATTAATTGAAAAGTGTGCGCCTATTGCATGATGCTATGTCGTTCGAAATCATCATAATAGAAGAGCTATAGCTTTTAATAGAAAAAGGTTTTTTCTCCCTCCCAATAAATCTCTTTCACTAATTATTAAGTGAATGTCATGGAAAGGCATTCCCCTATCACCTTAAATGTCATTGAGAATTAAGTTTCGGGAAAATGTTGTCGAAACATTTGCTATTTGAGCTTCAATATTCTAGCATCAATCGAGAACCTTATAGGAATTTTGATTGTTAATTTAAAATATCAAAGATAACCAACTTCCTTAACTGCTTGCCTCGGAAATTTTTTGTAACGTTTCATGATCTTAACATTACTGCATGTGAATAAAATCAAATAAACTAAAGATCCCGAAAATAATAGAATTACCCTTTTATATTAGAAAAGCAGATGAGAAAAATTTGTGGAAGTTTGATATGTCTTAATTTAACAAAATGGACTTGGGAGGACACTTTTTCAAAAATAAATTCCGAAATGAGATGTACGCCAGCTAACATATTTAAAATACTGAAGAGTTTAGTATCTTGAATGCTAAAAATAAAACACAGAACTTTTCGGGTCAATTTCAGTATCAGAAAACAAAGAGACAAATGAACAATTCGGAAATATTAGCTACGCTCAAAACGTAACAATTTAATAAAAAGAACAATGGAAAAAATAAGGGAAGTACACAGTACAAGGAACAAATTTATCATAAGTTGAGCGAGCTTCAGTTAAACCCGATAAACAAAAGAATAAATTTAACAAAAGAAAAAAGAATAGCAAATCCTAAAAGAAATACCAGAGGAGGTTAGAAATGAAGCAGTATCCATTTTCCAATTCACTGAAAAAAGAGATACCGAATAAAATGATTTGGTCTGTAACTATTTAACACCTCTATATTTTCTTTCTTTCATTTTAATTATGAAAAATTACAGTGGAACTAATACAATACTTATCGTATTTGTAAAATGAAAAAACCAAAAAAAGGGTCGTAATCTAACAAATGGCTTCTACATTATTGTATATAACATTGTAAGGATGGCACAGTTAATTAATCGGAATGCTACAACAGTAAAAACTAATTTAAATCACTGCAAAGATGGAATAATTTGGGAACAAGCAAAATCGAGTTGACAACAAAGTTGATGTTCCGAACCAGAATAGTAGATCATTATTTGTGGTAATAACGAAGAAGACTATGGAGGTTACAGCACGTGTTAACTGTCCAAATATTAATAGAAAAAGTAATTCGAACCGTAGCTGTTTTTAGAAAGTCAGTAAAAAAAAAAAAAAAAAAACTAATTTACAGTGAACAGTCAATTCATATTATCATAACATAAAGAGACCCAAAAAAGTTCACATATCGCTAATAATGTTCAGTGATGGTGGTCGTTTTGGCTGCAAATTTTCTCCTTGCCAGCACAATACCCGACCGGATGAGAAATTAACGAACAACCTCGTACATCGATTTGAAAAACTAATACTGAAAGGAAGAAACGACAGTAATGACAGCACTTATTTCACGTTCGTACTAAGTCTGCTATCTTATCAATACGTATTTTAAACACAAATAGCAACCATCTTGGGAAAAAATGGAAATTTTAAAAGTTATCCGCACAATCATCAATTGGAAATTACAATTTAGATTTACACAATTTTTTAGAAAGAACTGTTCAAGCAAACCTGACAACAGGTTCAAGAAACCGATAATCGACGATATCACGTACAAATTTCATTGTCCACATATCAAATATTCTTAAATTTTCTGGCAAATTGAAATAACTTTAATCGAAAAATTCAAAAGCGATGATCTAATCATGTTAAACGATAATCCAAAAATCTTTAGATGTTAGTTTAATTTTGAAATCTTTTGAAAGCAAAAATCTACCGCAGACCCAAAATATAATGATTTGCAGTGATTTATGAAATATTAACAAATAAATTAAATATATCCTGGGAAAAATGAGTATTTTAGTTTTCCACTCCTATATACTGTTTAAAATAAAAAAACCTATTTCATACCTAATCACTCCATTTTGCATTCCCAGAAAAACACAATTTACGGCAGTTCCTTCCGAAATTGATGTCATAGCAATTGCAGTAACAACGATATCGGTATCGATGCTACCGATTTCTAACCCGTTGATAGTTTTCAGTGTTACACTGCTCCCATAACCTGCAGTTTTGTGCAAATTACATAAAAACAACAGGACTAAACTCTTTAGTCCACAAAACGTATATTTTATTGTGTGTAATTATAATAATGGACAATGGTTGGCGGTGGTAAGCAAAACAGTTTACTTCATAAAAAGTGACGACATATCGTATGATTAAGACGAGATTTTAACAGTCTCATTTATTAGTTAGGAAAAAAGTTCCTAAACCCAAAGACAAAATTTTTAAGCATAAAAATTAAGTAGAAATATTTTCAAATATACTAAACCGAAAAATTATACCGGAATAAGCCACGATGGCTACGTCACAACTAGTTCGACTTATACAAATGAACTGCACTTCTCTTCCATTAGCCGGAACAAGAGTCCGAACATACGATAAACGATTTAGATCCCATATACAAATTTTACCCATGTCGCAACCACTAGCCGCAACAGCAAAATTACCACAAACTGCTAATGCACGTACAGCAGTATCGTGTGCGTACAGCGTTTTTAGAAGTGCAAAATCTTTCACACCCTGTAAAGAAATAGCTATAAATGAGTAAAATATTTTTCACAATCTCACATCGAAATAGAGAAGAAAGAGAAGACACAAAAAAGGAAAAATAAAATCAAACAATTTAATGAACCTACAAATTCGCTTAATTGTATACGGTAGGTGAGTATAATACCACATGAAAGTCCTATAAACAGCAAATCAAATGAAACACAATAAGCTGTTGTCACCACCTGAAAATCAAATATTTCACATAAAAGAAAAGGATTAAATAAATCCATGTGCACTTCTACTTAAGTTTATACAACTTAAGTCACATTAAGGTAAATGAAGGCAATATTCATTATAACTACGCCAAACAAATTAACTTAATCGTCAATTTCATTCAACTTGAAGTTTAACGCTAGATCTATAAAAGCTCAATTGAACTTTACAAGAGAAAAAATGAAATAAGTAGCTCCCTTCTTCTATGTTTTCCAAACACTTTACGCTATAAAATACAACATTTTAAGAGCCATAGTAAAATAAGGCACAGCTTTTATGACAAAAAAATCAACCTACATTATACGTATGGTAACTGGCCAAATCCCACCAAAGCTTCGGTTCATGAAGACGCAATCGAAGTATCCCATCATTATGTCGCCAAGTTACTAATCCATAACTGCAAAGGTTTCGCGGTCGAACTCCTTCCCCATACTAGAAGACAATTCTTCATGTTTTTAGTCGATCAAAATATTAACATGATGTGAGAAAATAAAGACAATATTTTTCTTCAGAACCATATTTTATGTGTTCATATCATTAACAAATTAAATTTATTAGTAGTCCATACTTCTGAAATTATAAGACTGATGCTTGATCTAATTAAGCATTGCCTTCCTGAAAGATTTACACATACAAAAAAAGTCACATTCAATGGATTATAATTACTATTAATTTTGAACTTTATAAACAAAAAATTATTTCAAACCTTATAAATAAAACATGTATTGCTCGGGAATGCAAAACAAGTTCCTTCTGAGAATGCAACAAGGCGGCCAGACCAATCACTACTCGGCAGTTTTTGATTTAGAACAACTATTAAGTTTCCGAATTCAGTATCCGGACTCCCTATAAATTCACCCCATCTTATTCCTCTCACCGTGTCCAGTGGATTCTGCAAAAATATATCTAAGTTTTTTTTTTGAATAAAATAGTGATACAGTAAATCAGCACCCAACGATGTTACTAAATAAGGACATCTAATTTTGGATAGCTTAAAGCTTTACTCAACAAAATATTCTAGGTTACCCAAATTCCCAGGCGGAATATAAAATTTTCCAGTATCCCAAATTTAAAACTCTACCAATGAAATGCTAGGAATATTTTGATGCATTTTCCCACACAAAGGTGGAAGATGAGGTGAACGAAAAAGCTGTAATGGCATTTGTCCGTAGGTCTGTATCATAGTTCTTAGGGCGGAGATCGAAAGTTCGTCATATTCGTCGTTTAAGCCATGCACCGTATTCATCCTGTATGTCTATAACGTTTTCAGTTACGAACAAAACACTCTTCAGAACACACCATCCTTACCATTTATGTCAGTAAACAAAAGGAGAAATTAATCACAAGACTAAGCAAAATACCGCGGGATGGAACACGTTGATTGCATCGATCGCAGCTTTCCCCGTTTGCTTATAGCCAAAAATTAGGTCGATCCAGTAATTCAGCGCTGATGAAACAAATGAAGATTCGAGTGCTTGTCGATGAATAAGCACAAATAAACGTGCTGATCCTTGACACCTAAAATAATCTCAAAAAATAATTAACACATATTTTGTATTAAGGTATTCTGTTCGAGAGACAATGTACCGCAAGAGAGAAATTCTGATCCTTCAGACTTCAGGCCTATAAAATACTTTAGTACTATTTTTTTTTTTTTTCATTTTGACAACTTTCCCGGTAGTTTGTCATTCATTCAAATAGTAGTTTGTCACTTGTTCAAATACTACGTATGGAGTACCTGAATTTCCCTATGGCTCATTAATTTTTGAAATCTAACAGTCATAGTCGACATGCAAAATTTTTAAAATTTGTAGCAAATTTGATACCATTTCGGCAGAATAACATCATCCACAATATCACCATTCTGACGCATTCCTAAATTTAGATTTTCCTTATTCATCAAGAAATCAGGCAAATAAAAGAATTCAGGAATAAGTTCCTTGAAATCAGTCGTTGAATCAAAGCTTGCCAAACGCCATGTGGTTTCAATTGAATTGAATAATCGATCAGCAATATCGAAATTGTTGTCTGTAAAATAACAACGATAATGAGTTTCCTTCTATTAATTTGGAGCATTTAACAGTCATTTTAAATGAACTTCCAACCCAAAACTTCGCCAATTCTCTGCAAATTCTAAAATTTCATGCGCTCCTCTGGTTATCAAAAACTTCAATCAAGTATTCGATCGCGGGGATAAACTCCCTTTCATTAGTAACATAAAGCTTTTAGAACAAAAACATACGATTGCTGCCTCTGAAAATTCGGTTTTAGAAATTCCACATTCAAAAAAGGGCGAAAGTTGGGGATAATTTACCTTGATATTCTAGCGCAATGTCGGTAAATGGTGGCAATCTAACAAGATAATGTGCGACAATACCGATATTCGAGTAATGACTTCCATAATGATAAGGTCCAAACATGAATGGTGAACCGCAACCAGATACTGCTTGAACCTCCTCTCGAGCAAGATAACTGTATTTTCGGAGATAATGTTTCTCTAACCGTTTATTCTGAATTGCCATTGGGCGGCTTAAATCTCTGCAAAGACACAATCTTGAGTAAGAGAAAAGTGATGACTTACAGCCCACAATTAAATTTGCAATAATTTGCAACATTTCAGCTATAACACCATGACATTATGACATAATTACCGAAGACCCATTCAGTAATATAAATTGCTTTACGCACTTCATTATAGTTCTATCGACAAATAGCACTAACAATAAGTTTAAGCAACAATCTGTGAAACATATTACAATTACTATAAGACTAGACTTCCACTTCTGCTTATTGCGTCTTGAATAAAAATTCCAAATATTCGTGGATAAAAAAGTTTATACATATAAAAAAAAGTCTATATTTATATTTCGGTATGTAACCAAAATGTGTTGCAATGTTATATAAAAAATCAAATAAAACCTTCAAAGTTGCCTACTACTTACTCATTATAGCTATAATGTCAAGTGCGTCAAGCATCATCTTAGTAAAATAATTACCTTTTTAAATAGCAATGAACTTTCAAATGATCACGACTCTAAAAATTTAAATGAACCTAAATGAGATTGGATTAGTGAGATCCAATACAGTGGATTTATAATCCGAAAGAACAAATGGAAATACTGGGTACTGCATAAGATCATTATATGAACGACCAGCCAACTTGTTTAACTGCATCAGGTACCTACAAGAAACGCAAGTGACAAGGCGAATGAAAGATTAAAGATGACAGAGTTCAAGTGAATTCAAAAATTCATTGTAATATACTCTTACTTGATTATTTATTAGATCCACAAGTTAACTTTGAATATTAATAATATTTTACTTCGAAAAGATACTGTTGGTAAATAATAATACTTTCAAAACTGGTGAAATGAAACCATCGTAAACCAAATTAAGTCTTTACAAACTAAGTTTAAGCAATTCTGAATAAAATTGAACTTTTCCCAATAAAGAAATCAAACAGTGAGTTTGTAGGAAAACACAGTGAAACAGATTTTATAGAGAAGCATAGTGGGAAAGAACAGTTTTTATTATGTTCTGTAATAAAAACTAACTCAAAATTGGTGATCGCTCCCTCCCGCCATAATTGTGTGGCTGATTGTACAGATACATTCGAAAAACTGGACAATTTGCATAAATCGGATGAAAGTATTTGCAAACCAAACTGATCCCGCTTCTGAAACACAATTTTTTAGATTATGCGTACCCAACAGCTAAGTAGTACCTTGAAAAATATTTTTATATTATTATTTGTAATCAGAGAAATGAAAATGACCAGATGAAACAGTTAAAAAAGCAAAAATCACAACGACTACTAAAATAAATATTCCTTTTTCTTAACAAACAAAACTGGTTTTAAGCAGGAAAATAGTAAGAGTCATTAGGAAAATAGATAAATTAATTGAAAGCTGACCGCTTGATCTTCAAAAACAATAAGATAAGTTTGGCCATCTGACAAGAAAATTTCTAAAGCAGTATCTTTCAGAAGATGATGCCGCTTATAGATTTCGAGCAAGTCTCCATAGCTCCATCGAATGAACAGTGTATTGGTACGACTTAACCTCTTCTGGAAGTGAAACCGTTCGATAAATTAGAATACCATCATTTGAAAAGCAAGAACACTAAAGAGCACATGCATAAATTAATTAGCAAAGTAATTATTTAAGGATATTTAAGAAGGAATTCAAGCAAGAATTTGTTTTGCTAATTAGTAGTTATAGAACAGCAGACATGGTAAAATTAAACATTCCACATGTTCTTACGCAAAACTGTCAGTTTATCAAACAGATATTATATATATATATATATATATATATTAAACATAAAATTAGCAAATGAAAAGCAGACTTGTACGGATCTTGTGTAATCACTGTGAAAGTAAAATCTTTTGTCGCCAGCAAGAATTTCACCGCTGCTTTCAACTGTCGATCTCACAACCACAGCTGAGAGTGATAAAATGATGCGTTCACCAGGTACTAAACCATCTTCTAAGTTCAATTCATTTATGTTTCCTCTCAGATCGCTCTGCAAAAAATAATCACACGAATTTGGTGTACAAACTAATCTCTTAACTTTTTCGTAGTTAACTACATAGTTCAAAATGTTTTATAGCAATAAGTTATCTACTATTACACATATTAGTATTAAAATAATGTTAAAGTCTTTATCAATAGGGCAAATTGGAGGAGAATGAACCGTTTATTTTATCAGCTTAATTTTCACATCTTTTACCAGAACGGACGTTGGGATAATCACTTCAGATTTTTTATAGCTTTCTATTTCATGCCAACATTATTTGTTTTAAACTAACCAGTAAATGAAATAGAGGGGGAGATTTTTCCCGCTTTTTGATCTTGTTTATCGACTGTGGCCGCAAAAATTTTATGTCAAACGATAAATGTGAAGGCATCAATCTACGACGCTCCCTATTTGGTCCCTCTGTTGGGTCAAGTGCCCAACTCGATGGCCATGATTCTGCATCATAAAAAAGACCTTCCGGATGACAAAGCTCTGTCTGGAATATTGAATACTTTTATGAAACAGTGAATAAAAATTAATGCAATGATTTGAAAGATAAAGGACAATTAAGAACCCTGTGATATAATGAAATACAAGAACTTAAGTTTATGTCTTACATTAAATCTTCGTATAACAGTCTCTGTGACCCATTTTGTTTGGTAATTTAAAATAACACTTTATTAACAAACTCATTAGATCGGTAAATGTATGACACGAATTTATTATGTTTTAAGACAGTATAAGAAATGACAAACTGTGTTTATTTAAGAAATGAGTGGGTCGACCTAACAATCAACAAATACTGCTTAACATTAATTATCAAAAAAAAATACCAGTAAACCGTCTAAAAATACGTTAGCAGCCATATTTTTTAGTTCTGACTCTCGACAAGTTTTCATAAAGTTCTTTCGTAGCAAATTCTGATCTTCTACAACTCGACATGTCATTTGCATTGCTACCTATAATATATAATAATACAGAGCACAGTATAAACTTAAACATATGTGGCTATATACAAATGATTGAATTAGAAAAAAAATAACATAGTGCAGAATGAGAAGCAGTATTTTATACTTAGCTTAATGCCATATTATACTCGCCTCACACACGAGGGAAATTACTTTTTTATTTGGAAGCCGACATGTGAACATCTAATTAAGAACCTGATAGAACTACCTAAAAGTTAAACAACTTAATAATTCCAGAATAAATGAAAAAAAAAAACTTTAAAACCTCGCTTCGAATCTTTGTTTGTTGTTTCTCTTCAACAATAAAACGAATTGCTCTTTGTTGTACCCTCGTTAAAAATTTGTTACGATATTCCAGGTAACCATGAATAGCCAATGACTCATCCATATTCAAAGACATAAGTCGATCTAGAAACATAATTTGTAAGTCAAACATCTAAAATACTAGGCTAAACTATGTAAATACATGAAAAAAAAAAATTAATTTGTCTAATCCTAAGCCACACCATATTAATAATATAATAATGTCAACTTACTAGCTTTCATGAATACATTAAAAAAAATCTAGCGCCAAATTAAGAGTGATCCATTTTACAACACCATTTTTAAAGCACTTTTTTCCATTCAGTATCCGGTCTAGCACTGTGGATAAACGCATCGATAAGTGAAGTAAGATTATTATAGCAGTTTATAAATTATTATAGCGGTCTCAAATTATAACAGTTTTCATTCTGTAAATTAGTGGACATCCTTCGGAGCGCATTTTACAATACCATTAAGCGATTTTGTAAAAAAAAAATTAATACCAGCATCTAAAGTCGCTAGAGGAGATTCAATCTGTAATTTCCTTAAAAATCTAATTAGGTTTTCAATATCTTTTTGAACGTCCAAATCCTCGATAGTATCCAGTAATGCTAATTCATGCAATGACAAGTTTAGCGCACACTGGTATTCCTTAAATAAATGTGTATGATCTTTGAAAAAAATTTTGTCATATTTGAACAAAAAACCATGAACTCTAATTTTGAAAATGATATCCATTTTTTTTTTTTTTTTTTGATATTAATAATAAATATTCCAACATTCAAAAAAAAAAAAATTTCAAAGCTAACCAAATTGGCATCAAGAAGGGATTTTAGATGATTTTTGTTTGACACTAACATCTTCACAATCATTAAACGTCTTTTCATTTCCCAGCTGTTTCCCTGAAAAAGTCGTTGCTAAAAAAATTTTGCTTTTTTTGGAGTAAAAAATATAGAAATCTCTTATCAAATATAAAAGAAAAAAGAAGATTAGGCAAAGAGATTTTCTCGTTGCTTTTAATTTATTTCAAAGAATTATTTTTGAAAGTGATTTCAAGTTCTTTGACAATTTATAATGAGAAAACCAACATTTCTTCCTGTATTAGATGTAACGAAGCTCAATTTGCTAGCCTTTGTTGATGCCGGAAAAAGTACAAAAGCAATAAGTGGACCAAATAAATGTCCAATACGCTCACCACAGATATTCATCAATCGCTGTTTATTGTTGAGATGCTCAAAAGTTACTATTCGTGTGTCATTCTAAAAAGAAATGAATATCTACCATTAACAGGGGTAAGAAAAAGAAAAAATAAAATCGAAATTTCGAGCAAAAACAAGTAAGCTGTTATATGGGATGACGAATAAATAAGATAAAGCATAATTTAAACTTTTGAAATTTTCTAAAAAAAATAAATGAAATAGTGAAAACTTACTTGCTTACAAACTAGAGATAGGAATGACAGGAATATTTTAAATAATTTCATTTCTTGATTTGTAACAGCTTCAAGTGATTTCACTGGCATGCTAGTAAAAAAATGTGAAATCTCAGTGACACAAAATATCAGACGTTCCGCGCGTTCACCTATTGGAGGTAAGCGTTTGCTATAGCTATTTCTATAGAAGAATTTCCTGTCTGAAATGTCATAAAACGATTTTTTTTTTCACTAAAATTCTGAGTTTCTTTAGCTCACACCGCTGTATCTCCTATTTTTCAATGATTTCGTTGTCAAATTCTTGCCTAAGTCTTTGATAAAAAGAATTTTTCCAGCTACCTGGAAAGAAAACAATAGGTTAAGCATTGTACAGTGGTCTAACTAATCTAATTCAAATGTTTTGTAAGTTACGACGGAAAATTAGAGTAAGAAAAAAATAGACATGTTCACAGGTTGCGAAATTTCTATTAAGAGACTTGCATTTTAAAATGGGAAATATACAACCTCGGAAATCAGCAATCGTTCCAACTACTGCAGAAAGCGTTTCGGACAGAAAATTACTGGTAGGCGCTATATCATTCTGCATTTCGTTATCCACTACATCATCAGCACTTTCTTCACCAGCAGCTAACAAGTCACTCATTGAATCCCAATCTGACTTACCTTAAAAGTTGAGAAGAAAGAATAAATGTAACAGTTTGAACGTTTTTCTATGAGTCCCTGTCCCTAGGAAAATTGTCTAAAGTAAAAAAAAAGAAAAAAAAATGACATAAATGACTTTTTACTAAGTCATGTTAGTTCGTTCAATAAAAAGTACTCTAAATCGCATGGTAAAAAAGAAGATGCTATAGCTATCAAATGATGAGTGAAGAAATGTTTATAACGGAGACGTAGAGAAAGGTATGTAGAAAAGGTATCAATTTTTTCCTACTAGTATAGAAGCTTACTCAAATTTGAGAACGTGAAAATTATTGGGGATTGCATTCGCTTCAGATTGTGAAATAAATTTTAACATATTGAGAATTTGACTATGTGTTATTGTCTATGTACACTACTCTGTGCATAAAATGAAGTATGCCAAAAATAAAAATTTCCGAGCGTCTCGAAAATAAAATTTACCATTACTTAGGTAGAGTTCCTGTAGCACTGTCAACCATAGACCATAAACACAGGTAAGACCTTGACGAGTGATTCTTTCTGATTGAATGTCCACGTTCAGGACTGCCATTTCCAGCAACCATAGCATCTCCTGACACATACTGTACAAATGTGAATTGCTGGAAAGGTTTTTTTACTGAATAACAATCAGAAAAAAAAAATCTGAAAATTCCAAAGCAAAATAACGTAAAATTCTTAAACTTTCGCAAACTTCAATATCCTACCGATAAGGCAAACATAAGCGTATAATTCTCCTCACGATACCAAACCAACATTCCATAAACGGAGCTGTTGCGCTTACGTGAATCAAATCGGTTGTTCTACAGAAAAAATTTCAACATTAATCATGTTTGCACGCTAAGCAAAATTTTTCCCTAGCATAAAAATTTGTCATTAGCATAAAATGATTTTTAAATGTAAAAATAGACAGCATACATGGGAGGAAGTGAAGCAATTCGCCTTAAAACGGATACAACAGTAGTGCATAATCCTAAGTTTATCATTGCTTGCATCAGCATTTCGTTTTCGTTGAATAACTAAAAGAATATTTTGGTAATAGACTGAAATATTTTAGGAAATTTATAATACCTCATAGCCTCATGCAACTGCACTCCTCTACAGGAAAGCAAGATTTCGGTACTTCAATTTTTTTCAAAGAATTCATACTGCATCCAAATTATAATCATTCCACGATACATAGGAGATGGATGGTTTAGTATCTCTCAACGCTGTGACTAATATGGTGTTTTAAAACACAAAAGTTTCATGGAAACGTTCATTGAAGCGTAATAAAACGTAAAAACGATCAAATTAATAAAAAGTAAAAATGATCAAATTAACTGTTATCAACATGGATGAAATATTCCAGTACGTATGCAAGTTCGAATGACGAACGCTTTCCTCCCATAAAACAAATATTGCTTTCAGTGAGAGACACTTAAACTGATTCAGTTTTAGAAACGGAACATGATCTGAACCCAGCCTGAAATTAGCAAATTTTATTATAAAGCTAGGATCTATCTATTCCTCGCTACATTAACTCGATATCATGAACTTACTCATCGCTGAAACGAATTGGTTCTTCAAAAAGCAACGAGAGCAGTGATGAGGCTATTTCATCTGTAATAGGATAACCCCTCATTTGGCTCGAAAGTAACTCAAATCCATCATTTTTTATGAAATCGGATCGCATTTCTGAATCTGCTCGAAGCTAAAACAGGTTGATAGCTTGAAAAATAAAATCCATACCTTTTTAAAGCCTAATTTACGTTTAATGAATTTTTTAGAATATTTATGCGACGAGTGACTCTAGAATTATGTTTCAGCAGAAAAACTAGCTGAGTTAATTTTTATGATGCAAGAAAGAAAAAATACCAAAATGTGTTTCAGTAAATTGAACACATGATCTCGAAACCGTTCATCAGACTGATTTGTTAATAGAACCACTACAGCTTGCCACGATATGCGCATGTTTACAACTTCAGTAAAAGATGCATCTGGTGCATTCTGAACAACTAATGCTAACTGTTCCAAACATCCTGAAGATGTTTATTGTCTAGCAAAAAAAAAAAAAAAAAAAAAAAAACAAGAAAAAAAATGGAATTAAAAAATTGTTAGGAAGTAAAAAAGGACACTGCGGTCAAAATTTTAAAATTATTTCACATCTTCAAAATTATGAATGTGAATACAGTTGACAAAATAAAGTCGTAGCAACAGAAAAGAAGCACCCGTTATTTAATATAATATTATTGCAAGACAAGAAGTGAAAAATATGAGCCACTTTTGAACATTTTGCAAAATGAGAAACAACAATAATCCAGTAGCTAATATCAGGAAAGCACCCGTTATTTATTACAGATCATGGTTTGCTAGCTGTGCAACTCAAATCGGAAATGGATATATATCAGCTCTCGAAAAATATACTAGGCACTACTATTCCACTTGAAAGTGACAGTGCTTCCAGAAACGTTTGTTAATCTTTCAGAAAAAGATACATTAGAAACTAAAAGGAGGAAACTTACTACAGCGAAGATCACAAAACCAATCGACTTTTTTCTCTTCCTTCATAACAGCATTTTCACTACTTTCATATGATTCCCCTTTTGCTCTTCGAAGATTGCCAGCCTAAATTAACCCAATCAATTCAATAATATAATCACCACCTTAGACCATTTCAAAAAAAAGAATTTGATTCAGTTCCAAATAATCTCTTCTATAATCTACAGCTTTGTAAAAATCCGGAAAAAATTTCCAAGGTCAGTGGGAAATTTTACTCCAGAAGCATGATAGATAATAAAAATACAGATGAGTTTCGAAAATATACCCGTTTGATATAAGAAAATACAACAAGAATTGACACTAACCAAATCCAGCACACCCTTCTTACAAACAGTGGTAGGGCATTTTGAATCAGCAGAATATTCATTATTTTGATTATCAACTAAACATACTGCATCATACATTTGCCGTAATTTTATTACCGAACGTTCTTTAGTCCAAACTTCGACAACACGATCTGCAATTATTATTTTGAAATAGTAAAAAGGAGAACTAATGTCACTATCTTGACCACTATTATTGCTATGGCTGCTGATTCTTTACTGACTGTAGCCATTTTGAAAAATGTTGGAAAAAGAAATGAGTGAGATCTTTCATTTCTGAAGCAATTAAAAAATTTAGGATTTCTATAAATATTGAGAATTAGTTCTGGTAAAATGAAATCTAAATGAAAGCCCAAATTTGCATTAAGTTTATATCATAATGATGTTGTATGAGAACTAGCACAAAAAGCGAACTTTTCCCAAGCATGTTGCCATAATCTTTCAAACGACCCACCAAATCGGTATCCTTCAACAAATCAAATTTGCATTCCTCTTGTAATAATTCTGCAATCACATTTGGTTAAAACTGATAAGAATTTGATGAGTTACAATCAGTTAGCCAAAACCAGAGTGAATTGGTCAAAAGTTGAAAACGAAATGAGTTTATTTGTCTCAACGATTGTTACGAATCATTTCCGCTTTTAAGTTACTTCTAAATTTTCTTCACAAAAATGAAGTAATGAATGATGGACCTTGCTGAAGCCATTGGAAATGATCAGTATGGCCATAGGTGATATACGTGTAAGCAGCTGCATGAGAAAGGAATATAAAATTCCAAAGATGAATTATTCCTTCGGCTACTGCTAATGAACCTAGCATTATACGAATAATTGTTAATAGAGTATCAGTTAATGGTGCAACATCTTGTACCTCAATTCGGTAATTTTTATCATCTTGAAGCATTTCCAAAATGGCCTGAAATTAAGCTATAAATAATAGAAATAAAGTGTCAAGGTTTTATTATTTTTTATTCTTACGAAATTAATTATAATTGTAACTTTGTATTGATATAACGTACTTTTATTTCTGTTTTTATAAACAGAAATAAAAGTACGTTTTATATATTTTATAAATAATAATAGTTAAGTTATATTTTTATTTTTTTTACTGTTTTAATATAATTTTTTTTTAAATGTTATTTGTTTTGTTTAAATATTTATTTTATTATTTTTTTTTTTGGTTAATTTTTTAATTAATTTATTTTTATTTTAGTAATTTTTTTTTGCTTTTCATTGTTTTTGTTTTTTAATTTTGTTTTTGAACTAGATTTGTTGTTAAATCGCATTCACATCAAGAAGACAGCATTATGTATGCCTTCTACCAGTACGACTTAACGCCAAAGTTGTCCTACGATGACTTATTAGCAGTTCAGACTCTTTATGGTGGTAATGGATTTTTTATGTGAACATTTTGCGAGTTTATTAAAAACTAAGAAAGCTAATTTTGCTTGACCGACTTTATGACTGATATTATAATTTAAGAATAATTTTAAAATGTCGTGAATGTGAAGATTTTTTGAATAATGAATGAAATCGGTAAATTAGACCTTGTTGAAGATGTTACAAGGAATAACACTGTTCTCTTTATCTATTTCATTAAACATCGAAGTTAAAATTCTGTTACCTGAAAAAGTTTTTTGAGAAAACTGACTCGCTTCAGCTGCCCCCTACTGAATGCAGAACATTCTGTTGTTTCATCTGAGATGCAGTGTACAATATCTTCTAATATAATACGCCACTGCAACATTCTTTCCCGGCCTCTCCTGCAAGTAAATCGTACAGTTTTGAATAAATCACAGTTTTAATTGTACTGTGGATAATATGACCACTGTAAAATTTAAACGTAATATATCAATTTCAGTTGGAATTAAGAATTATTAAAAAAGAATTATCGTAATTATATTCGATATCTGAGAATCACAAACAACCTCATAGCTAAACACCCAGCATAAAACATCAAGAAAAAAAAAATTAGACCTTGTTGAAGATGTTACAAGGAATAAATTTAAAGACACTAGTAAATAAATAATAAAAATGCTAAAGAAAAAAATAAACCATATCCATGGAGCGCAAACCAAACGTACTACGAGCTCTGGATCAACAATGAACCATTGTTTCGATCTTCCACTTGAACATTTCATCCTGGGTGGTAATGAAATACATGTACTTCGAAATTCCTGAAATATCTTACATTTATTTGAAGAACCACATGTAAATCATCATTTTCTGTATCATTTGAAATAAGTGAATACCAATAATTCCAATTAAACTTTGTTAGCAACTGGATAATATGATTACCTCAAGCATTTGAGCACCGAGATAGGCAAGTGACGATGACAGACATCGTATTACGCAGTCATACACATTTGAAAAGGTATATTCGCTTGTGAAAGGGCTAACTCGCCGTAGAAATTGGAATAACAGATGAAAGGTAATTGCCTGTTCATATGCACTATGTTTTAGGTCAATAGCCTGGAATTTTTGGGCAGATTTTAGAAAACACAAATTAAAGAAAAACTAGGAATCGGAATTCTTCCAGTAAAGTCTTAAAAATTATTACGATGAAGCTGCATATTAAAAACTATAAGGAGAAAGATGTGCGAGTTTTATAGTTGTTGAGTTCAATCTAGACCATCATCAATTTCAGGAAGTCAATATGACATGTGCTACTAAGCTTATTATAACTAAATATCATTCTTCAAGATTCAACAATCGATAAAAGTAGAAGAAACCTCTGCGAACATAAAAAGAAAAAGATTTTGTGAACCAAGCGAAAGCCAGCAATCAGCGGTAGAGGTTTTCCCCAATCGCTTTACCATTGGACAATTCCATTCCAAGAGATGCCTTTCAGTTGAAGGTAAGGAATCAAGCTCCAATTTTTTCTTAGTGTTGTGTGAATAGCATTTTCGTTGCACATATGCCATTCGGTCTCTAAATAATCATTATTCAGAAATTTGTTCATCCACTCAGGAATTAAGTTTAAAAAAGTTTTTAGCCATATTACAAATCACGCTTTCATCTTACATGGTGTTATGACATTAACGCGTTAGAATGACGCTTATTTTGCACAGCGTAGAGAAATAAGTTTATGCTACCAGATATACAGGGACAAACAATAACTGAATTATATGAACTAAAGAAACTGAACAGACACCTTATAACAAAAAGAAAATCTTGCTGAAGGCAAGCAAATGCAGTTTCAACATCGGCAAAAAGCTTAAGAAAGGCATTTTGTTGAACAAACAGATTTTGAGAGGACAAGAGAGACGTCAATCTCAACATCAGAGAACTGATATTACATGCTGCCAAAGAAATGCAATCACAGCCAAGGGCGCGTAAGATAAGCACTTGTGGAGCTTTCAGAGAACCTGAAAAAAAGTTAACTAACAGGCTATAGGATAATTTCATAAACAAATGTTTAGGCCGAACTAGTCTTCATTTACTATTCCTCTGAATCTGTAACATAAGTAAACACTATGACTATGGCCATCCAGCATTTTCAAATGAGGATTGTTGGACAACAAGATGTCATGCAAGTAGAAAGGTTGGAAATTTACCTATATTACTAAAAAAGCTTAGAAATAGAATAAATAATATATAAAGTCCTAAGCTAAAAGTCAGTTACTTTATGTTTGCTACATTACCTCGAAATGAAAGAATTGGTGATAATTCATAAAATGTTTCCGAGTAAACCAGATCTTTTTGCAATGCACCAAAGCCAAACACAAATGATAATTGTTCTAAAGATACTGCGCATTTATGTTTCACACGCATGATGAAACGCTGCGAATTAATCCAAACCTATAATCTGCAAAATCATAATGCGAAAAGCTAAACAATATGAATGAACAAGAAAAACATCAGATTAAGAATTCTTAACTAACTATTAAAGCGAGTCTGCTTTAAGGTGAAAGTCTAGAACCAAGTTCATTTGTTAGCTTTTTTTTGAATAAAAAAACTAACAAATTGCAGTGAAAAAAAATTGCATAATATTCCATTGAATACAAAAGGAATCTTTCTACACTTTAAATGAAATAAAAAAAAACTAACATGCACTGAAAGCATCGAGTCAACTGACACTACAATATGGTTCCAGGCATCATCCGTCAATACTGATGGAAGACATCTTCTCTGCTTTACTTCACCGTTGAGAGCAATACTCAAAGATTACAGGATATTTATTATTAATCAGAAATAACATAATACAGGAATAAAATTTTAAGCAATGGATGTTAGGTGTTGGTGGAATAAGGATTTAAGTCTTATGGACATTCTCCTATCAATTTTAACGTACGTTATGCTTATTCAAGTACAGAAATTCCCCAGGTAAATTTACTGCCTAAAGATTTCACTTGCACAAAAAATGACATAACAGAAAAAAAACTTTAGGTAAGCAATACCTCACATGTAAAGTGCGGCTATCGAATGACACTTGAAGCAGGAAACTCAAATTATTAGTATCCACTGAACAAACTGGATAAACCTGCTCTAAACTGCCAACAATTTCCTAAATCGATTTTCATCAACGATTTTTTATTGCAACAGAATATGTATAACTTTTTAGAAAGCAACTAGATTAAAAGAGCAAGAAATGTTTTACACATATTTACACCATCTATTAGCGTCTTAAGCATAAATTCAATAGAAGCATTTATAAAGGAATGTCGAACTAATCAATTCTGAGTTATTAGAAAGTAATATGACGAGACGGCTGGAAATCCAAATCATTATCATGAAGTGGGTCTGCAAAATTCAATATTAAGATCTGAATGTATCCCACCCTTTTCTTGCATTTCTGTGGCAACAACCAAAAAGAAACAGTAAGTCCATCGAATAAACATAATGACCAATCAAGAGCAAGTTTTGCAGCACAACATCCATCGAAAGAATCGTCTTCATGTTTACTGACTGCTAAATTGCTTAAAGATCCAGAAAATAATTTAGCATTATGCATGTCCTCAGTGCGTTCATTACAAAGTGAAGCACTCCAAGATGGCGCCGATTTCCCTTTCTGAAATGTATTCAATTATCCAGTAATCTTAAGCGGCTAGCGTTTCGACTTAGTATAAACATGAATTAACTAATTTTCGAACAAATAATTATTTTAATAAATTATAATAAAAGTATAAGTTCAGTATAAAAAGAGCATTCTACCCAATCACTTCCATCAAATTGTAAGTTATTTAGCACTGTTCCGTCGCAGTTAATTTTCATATGCGCATAGATTTTTTGTGGAAAAACATAGACATCTTTTGGTTCAACTTTTTCGTTTGGCAATAATCCCAATAAAACTTCTGTTAGCGCTACCTTCAAATTATTAGTAAAATTTGTTCCCAAAATGAAAATTTTTGAAAATTAAATTACATTACATATTGTCCACAAAACTTTGTCAATACATACTCATCATTTGCTCAACCGCCTGTTTTTTATCTTCGATCGATATAACACAGATCATAATTCCGTAACTATTAAACAGTTGCGTTTTCAAACGAAGTAAATAAAGTGCTGTACAGATGTAATATTACTAAAATACTAAAACTAACATATTACTAAAATACTAAAACTAACATATTACTAAAATACTAAAAGCGCTCTGGTTTCCTCTCCTTTATAGAAAAAATACAAAAAAAAGAAGTTATTTTCTAAAACTTTGAATATGATACCTGCAAATAACGAGCATTCCTCACAATTGCAAATACATTTCGTATATCTGACGGTGTAAGATTTGTAGAAATAAAATCAAAATAGAATGTAAGTAAAACCCGAAAACAGTTAGAAGACACTGATATTTCAGCTAGCGTCCGCAACAAATGCAAAATGAGACGATTTAGCTGCAAATCATTTTATAAGAGTACTTCCGCTAATTAATAAAGAAAATGACTAAAAATTTTCTAGTTGACAAACTTTGAAAAAACAAGATACAAGGCATATTGTGAAAAAAAAATTTGGTAAAGCATGGCTTACTTTACTAAAAAGAACGTTTTTATCAAATTGAGCATTTAACATTGCATGTTGAAGGGTACCACATATCTTGCGAATATAATACTCATTATTCGATGATACACTACGCTTAGCTTGAATGTGCTTTTGAAGCAGTAATATTGAAACAACAGATAATTGCGAATAAAATTTATCAGCACCTAGAAATTGGGACAATATGAGAAATGATTTATAAGTAATTATACTTTGATTTGCTTCACATCACAAATAACTAAAGATTAGGACATAATCTAAATTGAGTAAAACATATCTGTTATTTTATTGAATTATAAAGCATGAGAATGGTTTTATATTCACTTTTTAACATTTTTATATAAAGGCTATCAAAAAATGAAATAGTATAAGCTGAAACCACTGAAAATAAACAAGTTGTAAAAAACGATATTTTGATATACAAACACCTAGTCAGAAATGAATCGTCCCTGTTATAGAAATTAGATACTTAATATAAAATTCAAATGAATTCAAAACCGACTTTTGACTGTATCAATAATAGATGATAGGTCTCCAGAGTGGTTACTTTGAATAGGTGAATACGTCTTGAGAAACAACACCCGTATAAAGCACTCTAACAACCGTATATTGGAAATGAACAGCTCATTATTCATCAACTTGGATTGTATCCACTCCATTGGATTTTCCTAAATCTTTATTCAAATTATGGAAAATAAGTCAAGTACGAACGAATTTCATGCAAAACTAGACCTTGGTCTTTCTTTTCCACTTATTTTCTGAATATACTGCTCTTTAAATTTACCCAAACTGAGTCTGCAGAAAACAAAATTTATAGTATCTTTTGCAAAAAGTTCACCTCAGCCACATTTGTTGCAAGAACAATTCGTAATGATACACTAAATAGTTGACTTATCCGAAGCATGTGTGAGTCAACTTCATTGGGTGCTAGCATCCAATCCATAGTAATACTAACTAACGTTGAGCTACATTGTTTAGCGCATATCAGAAATCCAGATGGCAAAACTGCAAAAACTTTCTGAAGTTAAATTGCAAAGTACACTATATTCAACAATAATAATATTTGCAAATATGCAAAATAAGCATCGATGCATAAAATAATTCCACCTCATTCTCCAGCCACTGAACGACAGAATGAAAGATAACTGTTGAGTTAAATTACCATTTTACATAGAAATCCTCATATGTTCATATTAAAGGACAACATTTTATCAAATATAATATTTGATTTTCAAGATGTTTGAATTGTATTTATTCTTTCTTAATCAATAGTAACAGTTGAACCTTTCTCCGTGCAGTAAGACAGCAGAAGTAGTAGGAGATCAGCAACATGAAGCAGCGGAATTGCAAAATCAGTAATGCCAATTAACGTCCAGATATCCGCACTAGCATAAGTCAGTTCTCGAGAAAGTCGATCACTTATTGATTTTGCTAAATCTTCAACCTATAAAAAGATGATAAAATACTCCTAAATATGAAAATTTTTAAAATAAGAAAGCAAACTTCTAAAATAAAATTTGGAACGGCTGATGGAGAGAATGATATATGATGTCCTTGTAAAGAATGAATTTATAAAAAAGTGTAACTAAGAATATTGCCAGGACAAAAGACGCTTACACTTTTGGGACTGATCAGATTACTTCCAACAATAATAGATCGTTTACATATAATATATACAAGGTTGAATGATGCAGCAGATGTTTCAAGAAGTGCCATACACGGCAAAATCACATCACTGAAATTCAGCAAATTTTTTGCAAAGTTTATAATCAATATATGATCTACTACTCAACTGCAAATAAACACGTGAATCTTACGTACCCCAATATCACGTTAATTCAGAATGACCAGTGTCTGTTTAACTAGTGATGATGTTGTGCTTCTATTCTACGAATATTAAACAGCTTCTGGAATTTTTTTATACTAACAGAAAAAGCTTAAAGTGGGTACAATCTTGAAAGCAAATTTTAAATTAACTAGACCTAATAGCAAATTCGATAGCCTTTTGTCCGAATAAGTATTCAGCAAGAAAATCAGCCATCGCATCACAATGGATTGAGATATCGTTCAGTTTGGCACTGTCATTCCATTTTTTAGAAAGTGATGACTCATTTTTGAAACGATTTAAAATTGCTAGACAGATAATTTCTACATCTTGTACTAGCAGAACTGAAAGAAAAGAGAACTATTTCAACATATATTCTGGAAAAAATATTCCACTCCTGAACTTGAAATAAAAATGGAGATTCTGACCAAATAATTTTTCTATTGCGACGGTCATATTAGTTACAATTTTTCGGATCTGAGCTTCGAACTTTCGGATATCGGCATACTGACCCACTTTTACTCTATCTCGTTTCGGAAGTGGATTTTCTTCCGTCTTCGTGGTGTTGATACCAAATATCACTCAGTTATATTGATATCTACTATTCCAGAAAATAAATAAGAATCTATTGGAAAGTAAAATGAGATTTTCTATCTCAAATTATATCACTCGTACTCAGATGACTACTCGGATGAAGAAGGAAATAGAAATGTAAGAACTGGTATGCTTTTTGCATACCCTTTAATGTTTCAATAATTTTCATTGACTATTCTCTAAGTCATAAAAACCAATCTTAATTTGAAATAATTTGAATGCTGAATTTTAATAAATAATCAGAATACTGAGAAATTACATGGACAAATTGACGAAAGCGTTTGTAAAAGACAAATAAATTTCGCTCCCTGAAAATTTCCAATTCGATTTTGTAATGATACCAGGAATGCGCTCGGCATTGCAGTAACAGTTCTGCAATAATACTTCTTAAAAAATATATTAAAAACCCATCTTTTTTAAATTAAAAAACAGGATAATGCTGTTTTCTCTTTATTTGACTGAATGAATAGATATAATCTCTTTTATTTGTTAAAAAAATTTACCGTCTGTCAAAATTATTCTGCTGCTTAGCAATAATTTCTGCACATCGGTCAATAAAATTATCCAGTAGATGAGCTGAGAGGAATGTTGTAAAGACTGATATAATACCTATGAAGGAATAATATTCATCCGGTAGAGAGAGAGCACAACTAAGAATTTCTGACAGTACAGCTCTGTAAATAGCTTAATGCTCTCAAGTAAAATTTTTGAAACAACTTCAATTACCAATTAGAAAATTGTATTATGTTTCAAGTCCAGATTACAAAAGAAACTATATGCGTTCACAAAATTACATAAAGCTCAAATTTTTAGTTTATCAGATGCCATTAATAAATAAGAATTTTAGCAGAAAAAGCCTCTATCTAATTTTGCTTTACAAAAAAATAAATAAATAAGTAAAAAATAAAATAAAATAAAAAAAACAAACTCTTCGGAACAGTTCCTTACGATTTCTGTAACGATGTCATGCACGAATTTATATGCACACTGCACATCAAAATAAGGAAATCGTTTGCCATTTTCCTATAAAATTCAATTCTATCAGAAAAAAAAACTACTGTCTCTGCTCTAAATACTGTTGCGAGAAGTTTCCATATAAGCAAAGTGATTTGCCAAAACAGTACCATATCTTATGTAGTTTTTAACTCAATCTCTGCCTCATATTCATCCTTCTTGTGTTTTCCCTCCCTTTATCACTGTAATTTTTTATCTTTTTAATAAGTTCTGCAATTTTTCATTTTAAACTATCTGTACTATTTGAACAGTATTCGCCCCTAACTGTAATTTCTGGAGAAAAAAAAGTTAGAAAAATAATAAGGGATAGAAACGAATGATTGTTAGGATAACAAGAAAAATTAAATAGCATAAAAAGAATAAAAACAATGTAACCTTAAAATCAAATTTTGACTTCGGCAATGATTTCTTCAGCAAAGCAATTCGATTAGAATACTGTACAATATAATTGGAGAAATAGCTAACAATACTAACAACAAATGAAGAAGGGAGATATTCGATGAAAATAAATAATTCTCGTACTAATGAAATGAACTGTTCCTTTCTACACAGAAAAATAGAATTTGTAACACTCGAAAATATTCTTTTCGAAGCATGCTTTGATTTGAGAGACAACATAAGAATGTCAAACACTGTGATCAATAATCTGAAACGGAAGCTTTAATATCCACCATATTTTCAGAAGTTAAACATTTTTAAAAATTTGTAACTTTCCAAACGCAAAATTAAAGTCCTTTAGATTTTATAATTATATTTTTAAGACACTTCAAAAACATATTTGTCTTTACAGAAGCTGGGAAATATTACTAAAGTTGTACTTCACCTGTAATATTTTATGATTCCATCGAATAAGCTATAACAATCAGTGAGTAATTCAAAATTCATACCACTGGAACACATGTAAGCATTTATGTTATTAGCTATCTGAAACAAAGAATTTGCTCAGTGTAATGTATTTAATTTACGCTCAAATTACAAAAATAGCAAAGTTAGGACTTTGGTTTTGACATTTAAAACCGGACGCTACTTGAATGTATTACCCAAATCCTCAGTAAAAATATACATACCTTTGCTGCACAACAAATAATGCATTCGATTATAACCCTTCTAAACGGAAAACCGGAGATATCAGATTCGCTGCGTAAAAAATTTATCGAGCCTCTTAGAAGTAAAGACAGCATCACTTCCCAAGCAATAATAACTTGTTTATTTTTGCTAGTAACTATAAGATTCAAACAAAACAAAGAATTTAATTAAATTAGAGTTTTAATATCTTAAATTAATTTTGAAACTAGAGGAAATGCACCTTAGGTTGTTCCTTTTTTACTTTCATTTGTGGAAAATCATTATATTAAACAAAATAACTGCACACTTACCTATTCTTGAAACTATCAGAAAACACAATGAACTAACTTGGAAAATCATGCGACAAAAGTTGCTTTACAACGAAACCATAGATACTACTGTCTTCAATCAATCGAGCGAATATTGACAACGAATGCGCAAAAGTTTCAAATTCGGATATTGCATCAGGCGAATGATCAACCATTTTATAATACATTATTTTCAGAGCCGAATCTTCAATGCAAAATAGTTTATTTCGACTTCTGGTCAAAACGAATAGGTAGGAATGGTGATGGTTTTTGTTCATGTGAAATATTACAATGCAAACTTTCTAGCTTTGAGCAATGTAGCATTTCTTCATCTTTTAGTCCTTTAAAAGGTTGTTGAAAGTAAGATTTCACGAAAGTTTTCTTATTTTAATTTTCTGTGTTATGTAAACAACTAGGATCCCTCTAGTCCAAAAGATTTTGCTAAACACACGAAACATAAATAATTTTTCAACGTCTTGAATTGATCCTACTAATTATTTTTATTCGCTTGTGTGCAAAAATTTCGCACACAAGCGGATAAAAAAAGCAATCGTTTACTACTTCATATAAATACCTTTAAGGATAGCTGCCGATTCCTGTTCCACTGTAAATTCATCCCGATTAAGGTGAAAAATGTTATCCCAGCCAACCATCTGTAAAATGCATTTAATAAAGTATGGAACTGATCATAAAGTGAGATATGGACATCATGAAATTATGGTAGAATTTTTTCAATTAAAGAAGTTGTTAGTTCGTATTCTGTACTTTTTTTAATAGGAATTTGCTCGTTCAATAGCCAGAAAACAAAAAAAAAAAAACTGTGTCTTACAACACTTCGTTGTTTTCTTTTACAAAATTTATCATCCTTTTCATTTTCATTAATGTTTTCTTCTTCATTACAGCGTTCACACTGCAAGTTTGACAAAAGCTGTGCGTCACAAAAAGATATTTCAGCGAAGAGAGAAGACGATGGAAATTTCCCCAAATAATCAGCCAACTTCGCAGCTATTTCCTTGCTGTGTCCTTCTAATCCTGTAAAGACTCAACAAGTTTTGGAATGACTTACGATTCCCGTAACGCTTCACTTATCTTCCGTTAGTGTAGTTTAATATCCCAACTCTTGAGGGAATGAATATACATATCGTCCGAAACATTGTTGTTCGTACTTATACAAATGTGGAAAAGACTTTAAAGAAGTGAAGATGTAATATAGGTGAAAGTCAAATTTCAAAACCATTTTGAATTTGTCCACACGTGTAAGTTCTACGTAACTAAAGTTAATGTCAATGTCATATGCACAAGTGTCACTTGTACTTTAAGTGTTTTGTACTTTAAGTATTCAAATATTATGCAACCGGTATTTATCTTTTATCTCCTGCTACATAAAACACTTCTAGCAATTTATTATTGAGATATTTTCCTTAAGACTTGATATGATCTTGCAAAATGAAACAATCTGATAATAGAAGGGACCAACCACAGCGTGGATTAAGTGGCAAACGTGCAACAATGGCGAGTAATAAGGTTGTGCGAGGTTCAACCACTTCATTTCTTTCTAGGCTATCTCTCAAGTACGCTAGTAGTCCTGTTCGCCATCCCACATAAGCATTTAGCCCCAGCTGTTGCCATCGTTTACAGCCTTTCTCTTCTAGTTCTCGTTTTTTATTCCTCATCGCCATGTATGCATACCTGTAATAAATCATCCTTTAATTCTGGTTCGCAAGTCTCAATCATCATACAAACATTTTCAATGTTGTCATTGATTCATCTATGTTAGTAAGAACTGATCCATTTATGTCAGTAAGACTATTCCGCCTAGATCATAATGGAAAAAGTTTTAAGCACTGACACAGCTGATAGCTGATATCTATAAGTACACGTACGTATTGTTATGCTTAAGGTCCATCCATACATGTGCAAGCAAAACACAGAGGACAAGGAAAATTAGTAATTTTTTGAACACCTTAAACAGGACGCTCCTTAAATTATTCTCCGGGCATTCCAATACTTCTGTTTTCATTTCTTTTGAAGTTTCAAGTGCAAGTTACAATTTACTTGTTCATAAAGTCTTATATATCCACCCATACATGCCATACCTCATTTCTGTACATTCGAAATATTTGGTAGGTGGAGGAAATTTCGGTAATAATGCTACAGGTTGCCGTGCTTTAGGTAACAAACTGAATGCCCTCCGAAGGTCGATGGGTGGAAGAAAAAGCGTTTGTTGCGAACAGAATGAGGGAAAGAAGTGGCGGAAAATATTGTATGAACGACAACCGTTTGAAGATGAATACAGTGGTGGTAGTGAGTTTCTGAAGGAATTGAGAACGAATAGTGAGTTTACTCCAACTACTTCCTGTTCCTCTCTATGAGGACGTAGCTATTAAAATTTATTCGCTTTGCATCTAACCAATGTGATAATATAAAGATTTGACTACTGACGTTTTCAACATTCGTATTTTGTTTCGTTTTAATCAGTTAATAGTTACTGATATAGTCTCCGGACAGTTAGATTTGGAAATATTTCTTTAAATGTCAATTCACAGCAATCTATAAATCAGTATGGATGGGTTTCGTTGGAAGATGTTAACTATATAATTGGTCCGAGCTTTCCAAATTTTCAAATAATTCCTTTCAGCATTTCTGATCTTTTTTCTGCACTTAAATAACGTCCATGGAATTTATTTCTTTTTCTTGTCGAATTCTAATTTTAGTAACAGTGGTGGAATACTCATTTGTGGAAGCAGTATGCGGTGCCAGTCTTGTCATGCTTCACTCTAATGCTATTATATTTTATTATTTGGTGTTCGATTCCATCAAAAACAGTTCTATAAGTTTCGTCCAGCATTTTTCGTTGATATTTGTCATTGCCTTGATTCTGTACACTATCTATCTGTATATGATCAGACCGAGGAATCTTCAGGATCACTTCTACACTTTCATCACGCTTCTTTGTTTTGGCTATGTGTTGACACCCGTTATTAGGTTTGTTCTATTTTACCATTTGAAATTTATCCATCATTTTAGATATCATTAACAGATTTAGAAGTCTTCGTTTGTGCATAAAAAGCATAATTCCAAAAATTTTTCTTAAGGACATTGACGGATACAATTAGTACAGATACCATATACGCAATGTCTTTCATACTCTTTCTTACGAGCTTTATTTTCCATGACTACGCGATGATTGCGCCACTGTAAGTCATACTCTCTTTTTTCTAATCAAATGATTGGGAAAATAAAAATTTGTTTGTACCATATGTCTCTAATAGTAAGCCATTGAAATCAGCATTTATTCAAATTAAACATGTATAGCTAATTTCTCCAAATTTTCACACAGAATTCATTGACATAAACACAAATGCTGCATCCTGCTATGTTATTCCAAATTGTAGAAATCAAACGATTCTAGACTCAGAATTTACTAGAAAAAATTGATAACTTTGCAGGGTTTCAACGATATTATCGGTCAATCTTTCTTTAGCAGCTTCAGTTTGTTTGGTTTCACGGGTATCATCGAATGAATCTGCATTTAGTCTTCTGGCTCTTTCCATGCTTCTTTTTTCATACTGGCCACAAATGCGTAATATATTGTACAGGAAATGGTCAAAATCGTCGTTAATCCTGATCATTTTCTCTTCTCCTCTACTTTTCTGTGCACTACACCAGCTTTCCCATTCACTCAGTGTCCTTTACGTACTTGTGTTAGCATTTGTTCTCCTAATTTGCCCATCGATCTTGATGATCATGCAGCCTTGGAAAAGGTACGAGAGACTTCAAGGTTTTTTCATTTTACCTTAAAATTTTCCCTCAAACGAAAGATATATAAAGAATATGAAAAGTTCAGTAAAATTTAGAATTTGTCCCTCTTTTTATTTTCCTGCGAATGAAGTGTTCATTTTTGTGAAAAAATTTAGTATTTCACCAAATCCAGTATGTTTCAGTACAAAACATGGACCATGGGATGAAGCAATAGCAACCTTCGAACGGTGACATTTTGCCACAAGATTGTATACCTCTGATGCTTTCATAACAGTTAGAACATAATAAGATTTTGAATAGACATTTGCAAAAATAGTGGTCTCCGAATGTTTTAACATTTATTCTCCTAGTTTGTTATCGATCTTGATGGTCGTGCAACCCTGGAAAAGGTACGAAAATTTTCAAGCTTTAAATATGTATCTAGGTTTTTTCATTTTAATGATTAACAGGTTTTCACTTTGATCACTTCGATTAACATATGTCGAGAAAAATTCATGAAAACTAAAATATGATATAATTGTGATCTTGAGTTTACTTGTTGTGTGGAGTTTAAACTTTCAATATTTACTATTTGGGATGTAGGCTCTTTGGATTCTGTAACCTGCATTTCCGTGGATTATTGAATCCTACACATCTTAGCAACGTTAAATGAGATATATTTTAAGATAAAAATCTGGTTGTTAGTGTCAGAGAAACAAAAGAAACATTTTGGATTCTGTTTTTCGTCTCCAACTCTTTGATGGCCCATGTTAACATGTAACGTGATGAAATGGTTGAAAGCAGGAAGAGAAAGGCTAGCTGACAAGATGAATGTGATGAACATATGAGTGTAACCCATGGACAGAATATGAGGTACTCTCAAATTTTCTAGACCAAAAAAAGGAGACAGTAGAAGTCTGTTTTTTCCGCTAAGATAAAAGTAATTTATATGCTTGATTATAGTCGTTGGGATTTATCAGTAGGATCGGTATATTATTGATCTTCGTAAAAGATACATATGTATATAGTAGAGAAATTCGTTGTCGATCGGTAATTAAAAACCGTTCTATATACATTCCACTGCATATAAATCTCTTGAAAATGTGTTCATTCTGATGGATTGTATCATATGATTATTATAAACAAAGAAATTTAGGAATTTTGAAAGATGAGCACAGTATCCTTTTTCTTGTATCCATCCTTGCAAATAATATTAACGATGGACTATTTCTGTATTATTACTCGTGTTATTGAAAATTTCTCTAAATTTATCGAACTGTCTTAACATGCGCGCACTTCTTTATGTGTCAGTTTATTTGCAGAATAAATGTTTCCATCATCATTGCTAATTATTTGATGTTGGATTTAACTGGACTATCAACTTCATTTACTCATTAAAATGAGTCATTTTAATGAGTAAATGGAATTGGTACTCTTACTATTACATCCATTGATTTTATATGAAAGAGAAAGAGGAAAACATGCTTTCTGTTAAGAATAGTATTTTGTTCACACTTCACATTCTTTTATTTTATATTTTATGTAAGATATAAACTAAACTCGAAAATTTTAGCCTGATTTCAATTTCATCAGATTAAATTTTTATTTCTGGCTTCATGCGTGTTTTTATTTGTTGTGTTGGCATTTGGATTTGTTCCTAAATGGTTAATTCATAAGAAATTTCTAATTTTATGTGAATGAGATCGAATGATGGGTGTATTTCTCTGTTTTAGTGGAGCTGACACTCGGCTTCTACTTGTTTATTTGACAAATGGAATAAAAGATTTTAATGATTACCAAATAGATGATCTTTCTTTTCAATGAAACTAACATTTAATAAATAAAACCTGGAACTTGGTAATACCAAATTTGAGATAAAATGCTATAATATTGCCTGTCACTCCTTTTTTCCTGTAAATAATTTCCGGAAGTATAGCGCTAATGGCTGTACCATAAATCAATTTTTTGTTGCAATTAGTGGAAGTTTTGTAGCTAAAAGCTGACCATTAATGGGTTGCAGAAAGAGTTTGACATGAATTAATGCTCCTTAAACATTATTGAACTCTTTTGAATGAAGTAAATAACACGATTCGAATCATTTACAAAATATATGTTTGGAATAATTTAAATAGGTCTGAGTAAAGTTTGACCAATTAGCCTAATTGAAACTACAGTTGAGCTGGAGAACGTTAGCATCAATTAAACTTTTATGCGGTTTAATTTTTAACTTATTTTCAGAATTTCTTAACAAATATGGGAATAAGGTGCAGAATTCTTTAAAAAAAAAAACTTTAAAAATCGACAATTTAATAAAGTATGGTGATGTTATGAAATCTGCTTTTGCATTACTGATGGAAATTGAATGAGAATAGATTGTTGGAAGTTCAAGATACCAAGCTGAGAAAAGATGACAGGTTGGATGAAGACGAAAAGTAGAAGTGAAACTGTGTGCTTGGAGAATTGTCTTCTCACATTTGAAGAAAACAACGAAATTGCAAATATCTCGTATTTATATGTAAGCTGGTAATGTCGAAGATTTAATTAAGAAACTGAAAAAGAATTATGAATAATTTTGAAGTTATGCTTACTATCTTATCACAACTAATTTCCCTTTGATATCTCTTTTTCAATCCATTGTTGATTATCAACCGATTCATTATCAATCAATCTTGTTTCAACATAACTACTGGAACATATCTTTTTTCTTTCTGATGCACTTGAAAAGCCATTAACACGTTAGATTTTCAGATGAAACATGAAAATTTTATAAACGGCATCGTCGAAAGTTTGTTGTTGCTTTTGAATACAGGAATTCTCGCTATCGATTCTGTCTGTTCAAGTTTTAACATTTAAAGATTAGTTGCAAATCGTACATCTCAAATAGACTTTCAAAAATAGTATTATTTTTCTCTTCTTTTTTTTTTGCAAATTTTAATGTAAAACATGTTATACAATTTTCTTTTACACTTTAATTAACAGCGATTGTACATAATGTGCTTCAGTTCTTCTTTAGTGTTAGACTTATATTTGGAAGTTTATATCATAATGAAATATAATTTGATAAGTTTAGTGATCGTTTTCATAAAAATGCAAATGTAAATAGAAATGTCTAATGTTGCATTACTTGCCTTTCCACCACTTTAACTCTTCCGATAAAGTTTCAACTTGGCTAAATAGTTTGAACCGATCTCTTCTCTTCCTCCTTTTCCTCTCACTTCATGAATTTTTTTTATATTTTGCCAAAAAAGAAAAGAAGTTCTTTGCATGATTCATTTGCTAAGTGATATCAAAATTGGAAATGAGCGAAAGTCAGTCATATCGAACTATGCTTAGTGCGGTTGTGGCACGGCGCAACATTTCTAGCAATTGCACATACATATCCATATGTAAATATCAATTGCACAATGAAGTGGCTCACACTGTGTTTATTTTGCAAAAGGGTAATTTCGGAGGTTCCTCGCCATTAATCCTCCAAAATACGTCATTCTCGGCCCACTATTTCGTGCGCTAATGCTATTGCGTAGACGGTTCTATCATCGATTCACATTTTAAACCAACAAAGCGACTCATTCATTATTTCTATGACTAAATTGTATTAAAATTAACTAGAGCAATTCCGTTGCATGCTTTCTGATTGGATGACGGAATTTTTTTTAAATAATCGGATTATTTTTTTTTAATGTCAATGATTTACACGTAATTTTAATTTTAATATCAAGATTTTATTCATTTTCAGAAAGTCTAATTATTCAGAAGTTTTAATCCAGTCTTAAATTACGTATTCTATTCATTTGAGAGGAGATGGTCGAAATTATTTTCCTCGTTTTTGGTGTCAAAAATTCTGATATTGTGCGTAATGCAGGATAATTGAAAGTGTTGCACGATGTGAAACTGTGATATGTTCCAGTTTATCCTCTTCTAATCATTTCTTTATCAGCAATAGATTACAGTTTTCTGAAAGCTAATTTTTTGAATTTCACATACGATGGAATTTTATTTCATTGTATGTGAAGGAATAAAAAAATTATTCGAACTAAATATAAATCACCAGTAGTTCTTCACCACGATGAATTAATCGAAATAGTTTGGCATCTTAAGCCTTTTTCATACATCTTTCATTGGAAGTAAAATTACTTGTGTCGATAAATATACCTTAAAGAGACTTACGATTCTGGCTATTCATGGAAGTGATGTATGAAAAAGGCTTAAAAAAGTCTGATTTTGACATCATATAGCCAAAATTCGCGTCTACCGTACTAATGGTCAAAATTTTCCTGAATTACTTCCATTTGTTGACTCATGCTTTAATTTAAAAACCTTGTATCTCGTCAAATATGACAATCATTTCCTATATTACGAAAAAACAAGCGCATCTAATATCATAATTTGACGAACAGATTTATTTTTTCGCAGATATGAACCTCACAGAAACCTGACACTGCGAGAAAAAATTTTCAATCCTGGATGGATCATCAATCACGGGGAAGGGAAATTACTACGCCGAGAAAAATAATGGAGGCATAGTGGAGAGAAAAGATAGAATACTGAATGAATGTGAATTATTCGATTTCATTCCATTTCATTCCATTATTCGATTTCACTATTCACAAAAGTGCTCCCCTTCTCACCTAATGTATAGTAGTCCTTTTCCCAACTGCATAATTTAATCTACATTTCGCTGACATATTTGCTTAATTTGTTGCGTAATCAATCCTTTTCCCTAGAAGAGGAAAAAACTGCCACTAAATGAGAATGAGAATGAGGACGAGAAGAAACTATTCATTCGATAGTAATAGCATTTTCATGTTGATTAGGAAATGAGGGATATTTTGAAGACAGTAGTAGTAGCAACATATCTCCTGGAAGGAATTAATAGTCATTCTATTTGAGATTGAAAAGAGCGACTCGATTCGATCCGATCCAGTCCAATTCGATGAATTAATGCGAAAGGATGTGCTTTTGTTTAAATAAATGTAATTCATTTATAATGAGCGGAAAATACGACGAAAGAAAATAGAAATGAGGATTAAAGGACGCCGGATTCTCCCATTTTTTCTTTCATTTTGTTCATTTTAGTGGCTTTATGTTTACTTTTACATATAATCCAATCTGTTTCTCAATTTAATGGATCTCTGTTCTATCTCATCACAGCATACTTTGTGACTTAAGCTTGGTTTGGACATTAGTACTGGAAGCATAGGACCAAATCAAAAAGCACCCGCAGTAGTAATAGCAGTAGCAAATAACTTTAGCAACATGCATTTCATATCCTCAGAAACCCGCTGGGACTTCTTCCATGATATCTTCATCTGAAATGAGCATGCAATTCAGGCCTGATCATCATGCTTTATTTTGTCTTTTTAGTTCTGGACATTCAATTGCAGAGACTCAAAAGGCTCACAAATCTATAGACAATCACTGGCTGTGGTAGCCATTCCGCTCCTCCTCTTCCTTCTCTCAATGTGATTAGCTGCTGCTCGATAGAAGGCAAATGGTGACATGCATAACGACATTAAGGATGGAATAGTCATATCCATTTCAAACATATACATTTCTATCGTGTAGAGGCGCTGATACAGAGGACCAGAAGCGCACTTAATTTCATCTATTTTACAACCTTCTTGACCACTATTAACAAGCATCTAAATTATATCATTATGTTGCTTTCCTTTTCGTAAATAAAGCCTTCCTTATTTCGAATTTGCCTATCTTCTTCCAATATTCCAACATCTTTCGAACATTACTTGTCATTCTTAGCATTTTGACAATATAATTAATTTGCTTTGCAGTAACTTCGACTAAGCTTTTGTAAACAACAACATGGAAGTAATGAAATTGATCTTGCTAAGACGAAATGCAAAAAAAAGATTGCTAAATGCTTTCGCTAAGCTATAAATTTGAAATTCACGTCTAATTTTGATTTTTTTTTGACGAATTGAAGGAAATTTTAATTTTTGAATGGACACAAGTTATTTATGCTGTTGTATGATAAAAGAAAAGGAAATCAAAAGAAGAACAAAAAAATATATGGTCAAATTAGTAGTAAACAGTTAATCGTTGTAACTTTATATAGCAATATCTAGGAACTAAGAACGACTGATAATACATGAACGGGAAAGAATAGGCTATGGCTTTGTAAAAGTTTTAAATATTTGGCTAGCATTAATTTTGAAATTTAAAAAAATGTGTTCAGTGAAATTATATTATGGAAGATGGGGATAATGCCATAAGGATTTATAGGAGAGTGAAAATTTTAGTCTCTCTTTAAATTATCTCATGCAATAATAGGACAATAAGTCACTTTTGTTAAACAAATTATTGCACATAAAGTTGTGTCAATTCTGCATTTTATTTATTTATTTTTATTTTATTTTATTTTTATTTATTTTTTTGTTAGGAAGGAACAGTAAACTATTACCACTGTGACAGTGACAATAAGCTTTTTCTTAGAAATCTGCATACAAACAGTTAACCTTCAAATATATTTCTGACAGTGTATTATGAATGAAAATTCAAATCTCAACTCAAATTCAAGATTGAGAGATAATAGAATTTACTTATGATATTCCAATGAGTAAATTCTCATTATGTTATTTCCTCTTCAGAGTATTGCAATGGTAATTTAAGTGCTAAATTTAGTCTTAATGAAATTAAATGATCTTAAAATAGAAAAGAATCATTCCAGTGTATAAAAATTATTCGCAATGAAAAAATTACACTCAAAATCTCTTAGATTAATTCTCATACTTGTACTTCTTACAGTAACTTCGATAACTCTTTTATATTCGTACTTCTGAATTACTCACTAACTTTTCGTCACATTTCCACTTAGACAAAATCAAAAAATGTAAAGAATACAGATTCATTTACAATTGGTTCAGCACTATTCCACTATGTCCATGGGAAATTCCGGTTAAAAAATTTTAGCTTTGTTTAATAAAATTAAAACCAGACAAGCCAAAATCATGTTGTCCCAAAAACCTGTCCTTAGAAAAAAAAATTCACTAATCAAAGGAACGGTAATTTTTGGGAGGAAAGGTTTTTCAGAAGAAACTGAAATTTTTGCAATAAAATCATTCTGTCAAATCATCTGGAAAAAAATTTTTTTTGAGTAGGAAAATTTTAGCGAAAAGATTGCAAGAAATGCAATGAAGCAAGAAATGAGTGCAATGAAGAAAACAAGCGTTTACCGCTAATTAACTTGCTGCATGCAATATACTATTTCATTGCAAATGATAATTTTAAATTGGAAAATTGGAAAGAACTACAATGAACGCTGACAAACTAAATTCATATGTGCACAGTTATTGCACAGATATTTTAATAAGCTTGTCATATTTAATTTTTAATACTATTAGTAACTTTTTTTGTTAGAGCGATATGCGCAGTGTAAGTTTACACGTTATCCATCTTTAATGGTCTATAGAGAGCGAGAGAGAGAGAGAGAGAGAGAACTCTTGAGACAAAAGGAAGTTTTTTTTCCTTTTTTTCATAGAAGATATTACGACAGTTTAGTACTGTAGAAATGAAATTCATTATAAGCACTCAGCTAGTAATATTTCACTTTTTTGTGAATGAAAGTGACAACCTTCTGTGGAAGATAACATCTTGCGATGAAAGTAGAAGTGATATCTTTGGACTATTTTGTTTGTATATTAAAAATTACGACGTAATTCTCCCAATTGCTAGTGGATGCTATCACTACGACCAGTACCTGTCCTCATTCCTTCCTTCCTTTCTATTTCCGTCGTCCCACTTCGTTTCTTTCCAAAATCCAACGATGTTTCTATGTCTGTTCCCCCTCCCTCTCTCTCTCACATCAGAAATGATTATCAGAAAAGTGGTGATGGCATAACTGTTTCCTTCTCCAAAATTGTTTTTCTTTTTCTTCGAAAGTCTGAGAGACATTTTGCTTCCCTTTCATAGTTTATATCTTCAAATATTGAGTGTTCAAAGTGGAACTAAGGATTCAAAATACATTTTGAACCCTTCCATCACGAAATGTTTACTATATCATCGCAAAACTAAGAGTAGAATTATGGTACGATCTGAATAATTCCATTATAAATTATAAAGCTAAATTTTCATCAATAAGTTTTGTGAAGCAAATAATTTCTTTTTTTCTTTTTTTTTTTTAATTTTGTGAACAAAATAAAACTGAATCGATTAAATTATGAACATATGAAAAGTGTGAAGTAATTATAATTGTTAAAATTACGTATGCATGTGTGTGTATGCATGTGTCTAATCATTTTTAACATTTAATGTTTAATCCCTTTCTGTTTACATGTCTGCCATTGTCATACCAAACATACGTGTACGTTGTATGTCAGCTGCGGTTCATTCGTTTCTGCAAATACAGCAGTGACTTACTTTTCGTCTGAAAAAAATGTGTGCTGTAAAGGATAAAGTTTGACGGAGAATAATGTTCCGTGTGGTCAATTCCGCATTGCCAGCAAATGTTATATTAGTCTATCTTATTATCTGTTACCTTTAGATCATATATTAACAAACTTGAATTAAGGTGATGTGATATAGCTCTTTGTGATGAGGTCATTGTGATTTCGGTATCTTTTAGAATTTTTGGAAAATAAACAAATTACAGGATTATTTGCCTTTAGTTTAGCGAGATATATACAATGTCGTCATGGTGGTGAAGTACCAGCCTGTGCATTTGCGCCCTATGCGTTTACGTTTAGTCTTTTTCCATTTACCATGTCCGTTCCATTGCCGCACACATGTAGAGATGCCAAATCGGAAACTAACTTCTCTCTCTCTCTCCCTCGCTGCTGTTAGTGATCTTATTTCAAAATGATACAACGACAAGGCGGGGAATAGAGAGAGACAAGAAATGGGAGAAAAATTAGAACCGGAAGAGTGGAACTGAGAGAACGGTGCAATGCACTGAGTGTGGATGATGGGTAGTTGAAATAGGTGCTTGGCTAATGTGTGGGTGGACCATACTAACCGGATGGATCAACGCCGCCACTCAGTGCTTGCTCCCTTAGTGAAATTGAAAAATGCATATCGTTGTTACACGACCGCCCCACGGTCTGCTACACCGCCACTTCTTCACTTTTATCTTTGTTTTTGTTTCTTCTTGCTTGTAATAAATAAATAAATATAGGAGCGAGTGAATGAGTGTTGTACTGGCGCTAATGTCCTCAGATGCTGCAATATGATTTGATATGATTAGGATGTGTGGTGCATTCCTTTCAGTCTTCTGTATTTCAGGTTTTGCATTTAGGACTCATCCCTAAGTGTGTCTCTATATTTCTCTACTTTACAAATAACGAGGGAGAGGGAAGGAGAGAGAGGGAGAAAGAGAGATAGGTGAAACCGCAATCGGGAAACATGTTTTCATTTCTCCCGATAATTAAACAAACCCAGATATTTTGATTAAATCACTTTTAGTACTGATTATCATCATTAGGAACTGACAGTGATTAGTAAAAAAGCGGAAGAAAAATGTCCTTACAATTCAAACTCCACACACAGTCATACAGTTACTTTCCACTAACTCTTCTCATTATTATAATTGTCAAATGTCATCAAACCAGACCCTAGAGGTATCATCAAATCAAATCGTACAGATACTTCGTCAACAAAGGAGGATTAAAGGTCCTTATATAAAGTATTTGTAGCATCTATATCAATAGGTCACTGAGTCAGTGGATCAGTAGGTCGAAGGTACAAATAAACTCAATGGGTCGAAGGTACAAATAAAAAATGTTATTAGTTTTTTCTCTTTTAAAGAGTTTATGTCATAAAGTACTTTGTTAATGGCATACTTCTGATTGACTTCTTTATTTGATTTTTTGAACTATTTATAAAGTGGGTTTTTGCTGCACATGCAATATTTATGGATGTAAAACGATATGGCATACTAAAACATGTTGGCAATTTTTGAGAGACAATTTCACATTTAATTTGCATAGAGATGCATGTTTAAATGCATGAGAAACGGAGCAAGAAGGAAAAATTGGAATGATATTTATCAGTTTGGTTGACGGTTGACAGTCATCAGTATTCGTTCGATATTCCTTCATGCATTTCATAAAATCTTAATGTTACTATCTGACATAATATCTAATATATTCGCCGAAACTGCATGAAAGAGAAATGAGAAAGAAGCCATCTGTTTGTATCTTTCGTAGTTATTTTAATCATCGGTCTGCTCCTATTGATATTTTAAGGCATTTCGGAGGATTCTATTTATTGATGTGACTCTATTGACATACTGATGTGATATTGATGTGAGTAAATCTGTCATTAAATGCTTAAAATAACAAAGGTATATGTGGTGTGATGTTTTTTGAGCAAGTTCATTGATAAAGTGATTAAATATGTTAAATGCAATCATGTTATGAGTTATATGGTATTATATACACTTTCCCTCTCTTTTTTGGCTCGGTAGCGATGAGATATTCTCAGTTCATATTTTCCCTCCAGCTGGTTAACATTCTCTGAGATTCCTCACAGAATTGTACTACTTTGTGTTAACAAGAGAAGCCGTAATTTGATCAGAATTTCCGACACATATCTATGCATATCATCCATTCAAACTATGCGACACTTAACTACTCAGATACACGCATATAATTCAGTATAAGAAGTTTCTTGTTATTATCTAAACACTAGTATTATTCACCTTATCCGTTTTATTTCACCAGTTTCATTTTTGTTACATTTTACACAATGTCCACAGATTTGATTTTTCTTCCATCTACAGGTCGGAGATTAAAAAGAGAAAATTTACACCGACCCATATAACATATGAACAGAATGAAATAATAAAAAAGAAAATGTAAGTGAGCAATTCGAATCGAACCATTCATTTCACATTTGATTAGTTGTGTTCGAACCAAATTGAACTTAACTCTTACTTATTTGTACCGTCTGTTTTTATTATATCTTTTTGTCTTTTTTCCAACATGGAAGAGGGAAGGAAAAAAGAAATTTCTTGAAAATTATTTACGACTTCTAACCAAATAGGCAAATAGTTTGAAATTTGATTGGGTGATGTTATCACTGATAACGCTGTCCATATGTTCTATTATTATCTGTTAGGAACAGACTCTTGATATATATCGCAGTGCAAGCACTTGCAGTCATTCTATGATCTTGCATTAAAGCTTCCTCTCTTCTTCGGCCCACATCTTAAGGCTTTTTTCATCATTGAAAATTTTAGATTTAGACAGACTTGAGCATATCGCTATCGTGTTTCTCTATTCAATCACAGAAATTAATTTTAAACAAGACAGAAGCGCATGAGAAGGATTAGTAAAGTAGAACTGGGAGGGCCTCGTCATCTCCTACGAGTGATAAGATAACCCATTTTGCACTTATTCCTTGCTCTAAAAAATTATCATAAATTTAGCTGTCCTGTTCCTTTTTTAATTGTTTCATAAAAGATGACTGTGTCAGTATTAAACCCAGCTGCACTATTTAGATAGCTTGTCTTGATCCGCAGTTCATAGTAATTTATTTAAAGCTCTTTCTGTTCTTTCGACATTAGATGATCCTCAAGTCGCAAACTTTTTCTTCTCTAAAATTACTAAAAGAAACTAAATTTCAAGCTTTATTCTCTTTATGATACAATAAATTGTGTGTGTGTGTTTTTTTTGAAATTTTATGGCTTATTTGCTTGTAGCTCTGTCCTAATTTCTCTGAAATTCCTATTATTCAGTTAAATAACATCGGAATTGCTCGAATCTTTTTTTTCTTTTTTTTATCAACCGATTCTAAATATATTTAAAAGAAAAATTGTATTTCTTTCTTAATAATTCATTTTATAAGAGGAGTTATTGAAAAGAGAATCAAAAGGTCACAGTCCAAATGGTTTTGGATGATGGGTGATGAGATCAAGTCAAAAAGCAATAAATTAAACGACTCATTAATCACTTCTGCAATTTGCAACTTAATTTGATACTTGTAATTTGTTGATGCAACTTTGTTGCAGGTTTTAGCTGAAGTACTACCATTTATGTCTTTGTTTTTAGCTTCCATTCATGCTAATGTTAATTCTTCCTACGTTGGATGATAGTCTTTCCTGAATTTGTTTTTATTTAGTGGAGTTTACAGATATTTTACATATGAATTATGTCATCTCATAATTTCCTTTTGCAAATTAGGGATAAAATAGGACTGAGTACTTAAATGAAACAATTTACACTTATCTCAGTTGTTGTGCTGTTGTTGCACAATCATCTTTTGATACTAACTTATATGAGACATGCACGACAACGTTTGTAATACGTGATTGGTAACACAGCAACGAAAAGCAAGTATTTATAATGACTAACAAAGACTTGTAAATATCTCTACTACTACGGTGGTATAAAAAATGTTAGTACACTTGGCGTATTTTATGTTTGTCTTTTACCTTCATATTTAAACCTCCATGTCTTCCACAGTAATAGATACGTTTGTACATATGAAGCTCTTTGTTTTCTTTTTAAATCGTTCTAGTGTAGACAATTATGATATAGGATGGACAGGTGTGCTTGGCTTGTTTTGCTCGATAAAAACAACACGCTTTATTTCAATTTTGCAATTGATGCCTAAAAATAAGTCCACTCTTCGTTTCCTCTTTACAACCGCCAACGCCACCACCATTATCATCATTCTCATCGTCTTCGTCATCTTCCCCAAATTTATACACACACATACATATTCCCAATATTGCCGAACAATTGCATTGAATTTTGTGGATAGGCAAAATTAAAAGAGTGTTGGTTATTGAGAGCTTATCCGGGCAAGTACTTTTTTTTAATTTCAATTGTTTTTTCCTTTTTTTGTTTAAATGGTGAAATTTAATGGATAAAAAGGGTTGTCCATTGTATAGTGATGATAAATAGATAATGGTAACAAATTCGCTTGATCAGAATGGAGTAATTAATGGCAAAAGCGGTAATGGTGATATTTATTGTGATAACCATCAATAAATTCATTTCCCACTTTTCAGTTTTCAAAATCATTTCACTTTAGTCTATTCTGCAATGCAACTCAATTCCTTCTTTTTTCGTGTCACCATACACATTCATTACTACCAAGTTCGTACAAGGGAAACGGGGCGGAAAATGTAGAGGACTTACCAGCTTTATCACCAAGTGACTTCTCATTTCCTGCAGACTCCACACACACATCAAATCTCCAACTTTCTCTTATCGTTAATTTCCGGGAGAAGAGACAATGTTATGAACTGCCTCTCTCCTTAGAAAAACACTCTCATTTTTGGCTTTCTTTCCGTTTAGAGTTGTGGCATATTTGAGTGTAAGCAACAATGCGTTCATTTCATGGAGACTAATTTCTCACCATTCTCCGCTTCCACAAAGAAAGTTACTTAATAAAGGATGAAGCATGCAGAAAGAGAGTTAGTTATTAGTTACCGTAGTCGGTAGATTTAACGATGAAGAGGACCCTCCTCTTCATCGCTTCGTTAAATTAAAAAGCGTTCATCCTCGTCTTGACGTTGCTTTTGTCGTGGTCGATTCCAGTATCATCCTCTCATTCTTTCTGTTAAACATTCGGCCAATTTTCCTGGAAGGCTGCATTTTTTTTTGGATATAGTTATTTCCTATTTTTGTCGTTGGCTAGCCAAGACAGACGGAGGTTGGAGGACAGAGGCTGAGATAAATGACGGCTCAAATAGAAAGTTATTGCTGTAGCGTCTCATCCAACCATCGACGACGACAGGAAAGACACATGCAAACTGAGTGGATCCTTCCTCATCACCAGTGATTCATTTCATCTGTCCAATCCCGTCTATCTCAATTTGACTTGTTAACTAGTTAGTTAGTTAGTACCTAGCAGCTAGCTGAAGTTTCAGTGTAGTCTGAAAAATAATTATTAACTTCAGTCATAATCCTCACTTAAGACATGTCTTCTAGGCTATTGCGTAGTAGCTTTCATTATTGTCCAACACTTCCTTACAGTGTTCGAATCTATAAGGCATGGCACCTTTCATTTAACAGTAATTATTGAAAGTTAGGGTTAAAAGAAAGAAAATTGAAAGACTTTTCCAATTCTCTTTTTTCTTTTTATGTCGGTTATAGCCCATCAACTTTTTGCTTCACTGGGAGTATTTTTCATTCTCCATTCAATTCCAATTTGAAAGCAACACCGAACAACATCAGACATTTAAATAAAAAAGAAATTAGGTTTTTATTTTAAATGGCCTACACCATACATTACTTTGCAAGATGGAGCAACAGCAGTATATTCAATAATGTCTAACAAGAATGGAAGACTTGGCGGTATTTAAACTTCCACCCCACCAATTCATATTGTTTAGTTTTGGAAAAAGAATCAAACAAGTAGCGTTTGGTGTAGAAATTTTTTGACGTAAACCGATAGGTTATTGACAGAAATTAATTACTTGTTGTTCTCTACTTGCAACTAATAAGTTACACAGGGACGGGATTTTCTGCCATTTCAGGGTTGATTGTTGACTGATATCAAATCACAGTTTATTCTTTAAAAGTCACTAAGGAGTTTGTCAATTGTGTTATCTAATAGAATTTAAAATGCATTTTAACTTGTAAGTTCTAAGTATTAATAACAATTAAGTCTTCCACAATTTGCTTTATCTAATCTTTACAACCTAAAACCTGCAAACATTTTTTACAATGCATTCAAAATTCTATTTCACATATTTTTTACTTCATTATTTTCCTGCTTAACAATAAAGCAAAATGCAATATTTATTCCAGACATCTGCTGTCGCCTGTTTTTGGCGTAAACGTTTACCGATAAATTATCGACACAAATTACTTGTTGTCTTCTACTGTTGATTGTCTCTACCACATGTATACTCTCAACGTTAAGGTAATACGTATTTAATTACCTCGTAATTTCTATTCAGTGTAATGTTTCCTTAATAAGTTAAGGGTTAAATGCTAATTTTTCGACTGCAGCTTCTGCTAATTGTCTAATGAAAAGAAAGCAATGGTTTTGAAATATTACCCATTGTTTAAGTGTTACCTGTTATGATCAATCATTTTCTGGAATGAAATTCTAATGAATACTTCGAGAATGTATGGGTGATAATGAAAGAAAACCGTTCCTTCATTTGCGCAGTTGAAAACGGACGGAGAAATACGGAAAACGATTTCTAAACTATTACACATCCTGAAATAGGCCCACATCCTGGAGTAGGTCTGTTGGGCTATCTGGTTTGTAATGACAGAAAGATTATGTGATGAATTAAGGAACGGAGCTTCACAACAGTCACCCACCGCTACATGTGGTTAGCGTTTGTGGCAAGGTCGTTCTCTTCAGTGATAAAATTCATCACTATACGATCAAAAAAGAAATTCCGACGTCCTCTGTCCTTTCTATTGGAAGAAGAGAATGATAGAGACCAGAAGAGTGAACAGTGATTTTATAACAGGCGGAAAAGTAGAAGAAGCTATCTGCATCCCTAAAATTTCTCTTCTAAAAATCGATTCAATTCATTTTATAATTTCTTCATTCCAACCGAAATTTCGTATTACATACCTGCGGAGGTATTCGTGCATTCTTTTCCACTCTAAATTATATGTAAAATTTTTATTTGACTTTTTTTTTTTTTATAATCTACAACACATTACAGTGCATCCGTTGACACGTTTTACTGTGACAGAGTCCAAGTTCTTATTTATGACATTCTCATCATTCTTTAATAAGATCATTTTCTGATATTCTGAATTATTATCCATCGTTATTGCTAGTATCGTAATGTTTGTGTGAGATGATACTCTATCATAAATTAAAGTATGGTAATCTTGTTGATAACTTTGTCATAGAAATTGGGATTAGATGAAGTTGATTCGAATAATAAGATATGGACATAATGTTTATTAACTCATCAACATATAAATGGTTCTTTTTATACAAAACAATTAAATTCTATTTTCGCATTGTCGTTTAGTCGTTCAATTTCTCCCAACTTTATGTAAAACTGTAACTAGAGTGAAGAATGCAACGTTTGCAAAAATTGAAAATGTACGACAGTTGTTTTGAATGGCAGTTGTTCAAATTGCCTTCCCTAATGCTTATAATATTCAGTAGGATATCTCAAGAGGGCAATTTGGCATGTTGCTGTATCTCCAACATTACCATGAAATGTTCCCAAGGCCTTGCAATATAATTTCTTAAGATTCAGGGGAAACATATATTAGTTTTTATCACAGAGGGTGTGGATATCAACCTTTATTAATATAGATTGTCACATAAGATTGTGAGATAGAAACATCGCTTGTTCACCTTTAATACTCTTTCTAATGTGCAGTAAAATTTGTAAAAATTTATTCTTTGTCATAGTATTCTATGGCGTACTTGTTTGTATTCTTACAAGTAGTAACAGGATGATAAAAATGATAATCGATATTTAAATTAGTCCTTTAGCTGCAGCTAATAATTTAATCCAGTTTTGTATCTATTATTTGCCAGATATACTTAACGTTAATTTGGATGAATAAAATTATCGCTGAAACTGTTTCGTGAGATCTATTTATTGGCAGTATTTCTCATTACAACAATTTAATAAATTTATTTGTTATTTTTTTGTACATTTGAATGAATTGCTACTATCGTATTAGACATTGCGAAAGTATTAGACTAAATTAGGTTTTGCTGATCAATCATTAAAAATATTGAGCTTTAGGAGGGAGAGGGAGTTCCTCTCGGGGAATGTATTGTAATCGAGGAGAGCATCCTGTCAACAAAGGATCGCTTTGCAGTATTTTTTTTTCGGATGTGCCCACTGGAGTGGATGGTTCCGCCGTCTTCCAAGCCCTTCTATTAGTGTGGAAATAAGGAAGATATGTGTTAATGATGATGAAAGTGAATAATTGGAGTGTGATCGTCAGACATTATAAGCCGATGATCAGTTTAAGTGGCATTGTTCGAGAGTTAATGTCCATCGATAATACTCTCCAAGCAAGAATGAATAGTAATTTAGAAGTTGAATTAAATATCAAAGGCCCGTTATCTTTTCTCAGCTTTGTTTATTTGTTTACATCTTTCCCTTTGTCTCTGCCTCTATCCCCAGATTATGTCCTCTGTCTCGTCCCAATGATAGCTTCAGCAATACAATCAAGCAGTGACTGTCACCAGTATTTTCAGTGTATGGTGGGGAATTATTCATGTCGAGAGTCGGTCACTTAACAGCGCTTTACTTCATTCCTCAATCAACTGATAACGATTCACTGTGATAAAGACTGGAATGAATATCTGGTACTTGATCACTTCATCACTTCATCAGTTTTAACCAAGGACAGAGGACGAATAGATGGAAGACAGACACGCCAAAGCATACAGCAATATTATGTAAATATGACAACGGTCGAAAAGACAGATAGACGGACAAACACAAACACACACACACACACAAACAATGTTTGGAAGAGGAGACTTCACCAAAACTGGCTTGTTTAACGGTGTGGAGAAAAGACACAGCTGGCTACAGTGATGCTCGAGTAGGTGGTGGTGAAGTGTCGCAAGTACATGCATGTGTCCGCATCTGTACGTTAATGCATGCGTCGACGTGTCATACGACGGAGAGGACGGACATCAAATGTAGATATTACTATTAGAGAGATACAAGTGGTAGTGCGTACCTGTTAGTGATCGGTGCTCTTTTGCCTTGGATATAAAACGCCCTGTCGAATTTTAAATTTCATTTGTGGTAGTGGTGGGACACCATTTTCATCAATTTATTTATACATAGGTCAGAATAGATACATAGATTTGTCATCAAGGAGTCATGTAGCACGTCTGTGTGAGGCTTGATGGCGCAAATATTCTGACTGCAATTTACTGAGTTAACTGCCCTTTCGAACATGAGTCACAGTCTTCATTCTGTTGCTCATTTCCTTATTGCATTTCATTTATTTAAGAAGTTATGGGATATACCAACAGTTATTGTGTAAATGAACTGGGAAAATTTTCTCAATTTTTTTTTTTTCGCGAAATTTTTTTTTTTTGCATTTACTGTAACGGTTAGAATGTAATATAATGACTGCATAGTAGTAATCCCTTCATCTTTTATTCATGAATCAAACTTTTTTCTTTCTCTAAAGGTCACTATTGAGAGTGTGATCGGTCATTTTTTCTGAAAATATTCTGAAATTTCATGCAGACATAAATTTGAAATAAGATCATGAATCTTACCGTTTCGACAGTACTTCGTGATTCGTTGTACGATAAGATATAATTAATTACCATAATTATTTATTTGTAGGCATTTATTGACATGTACGATGAGAACAGCAACGCAGCAGCAGCAGCAGCAGCAGCAAGCAGTACTTCTTCAACGGGTCTTATGTCGCAGTTGCTTAATGTTAAAGATTCCAGATGGTTACAGCTGGAGGTAAATTTCATTTTACTCATTATCCTAACGACTTTTAATTAAGTTAGCTTCAGACATTCACAGTTTCTCAGTGTTAATATTTGTTGGATAAGGATCAGTAAAAACCGTGGTAAATCGATCATATTTCTTTTAAAAAGCACATCACCACCCTTTGAATCTGCGAACAATATATTCCACTTATAAGCAGAAAGAATTCCCTAAAGAATACAATCTTTTGGTATCATTTGTTTAATTTTCCTTTCCGACTTCCTTTATACATCTTTATATTTTATATATGTTCCAAAACATATAATTTTTTCAGTGTAAGGATTTCTAACGCATTTTTCATTTTGACTTCATGGATTGGGAGCGTCAGCTGTTTCTTGTCCCAGTTGAACTCTTTTGTAGTTGTTTTTTTTTAAAGTTTTATAAGATTAATATGTTTAGTTAGTTGTATACTCTTTCGAAAAAACAAAATAAAACGAGAAAACATTTTTGCTTCGAGAGCAAATAAGTAAATTTATAATATTACATAAATTTGAAAAAGCTGTCTTCAATGAAAGTGTTAAAAAGTGAAGCAAGAAAAGTCGCAAATACTTGAATTCTAGGTATGTCGCGAATTTCAAAGAGGTCAGTGTTCGAGATCAGATATAGAATGTAAATTTGCACACCCACCTCCACACGTTGATGTACAGAATGGCCGTGTTACTGCTTGTTATGATTCCATTAAGGTTTATTTTTCTTTTCTTACTTCCTCTATTTTTCTAGAATTTATCTTTCTTTATTTGCTCACTCATAATAATAAGCATTTGCCAGCTTTTAACAAAACAAAAGGGCAATTGGATGATGATGCTGATGATAACAATGATCGAAGCCAACTGCATTAATCCTGTAGTAGTAGAATGCTAGGAAATTTCAAGAATTTTAAACTTATTTGCTCTGGCTACTTAATTTTGTCCTCGAAAAATTTTCTACTGTTTAGTTTCCTCACTATGATTTTTAAGTGCAAACATAGGTTTTTTGTCTTTTTGTCAATTATAATTTTATCACATTGCCTATAGAAATGTTGGAATGAATTCTGCTAAGCTAGAAATAAATTATCTTCGCTAACATGTTTTTCTTTTGTTTGTGGTTTTGTGAAGCTGAAGCCCTGACGTCTAGCCTCTAGTTCAGAAAACACTGTGATGATTTTCTTTAGTACCTCTTTTTGATGGCTACCAAGTCTACTAATTGTTCCATTCAAAAAAACTTTTCTATCGTCTGTGAGAAAAAAGTGGGATACACATATATATAATAACATTATTGGTAGGTCTAAATTATAAAATATATTATCTGTCAACATAGCATAATAATGAAAATGCAGAAGGAAAGATGATTTAAGATATTTAATAAAATGGATATATTTTCTGTATTTGCAAATAAAATTTCCGTTTCTTCATCTAAGACTTTCATATATTTATTAATAAAATAGATGGAACTCTTCCCACTTAACAATCGTTCAAATAAGAATTCAAGTAAATTCATGATAAATTAGTTTACTACTGATATTATGTGTAGTAGTTGATTCTGTCATGCATTATTGGTAATACGAATGCACCCTGGAACTTGTTTGTTGTATCTATGTAACAAGAAGAAAAACGTATGCTCACGTTTAATTCATTGTCTTCCGGCGTCTTCTAGCATCACACGTAAAATGTCATAATGGTTAATTATGAGGTACCTAAAATAAGATTTAGGAGAATGTGGAACTGATTATGAATCAACGTGACTATGCATATAGTCAGGTTTAAGTAATTTATTGCTTCGAATATCATTTTGTTGTAGGGTCGATGCACTCGGGAAAACCCAAAATGCAAATATTTGCATCCGCCACAACATCTGAAGGATCAGTTACTGATAAATGGTCGAAATAATTTGGCTCTCAAAAATTTAATTTGTACACAGTTGAATCAGAATGCAGCAGCAGCAGCAGCAGCAGCAGCTCCTGCTACACTTTCAACAATGAATCCATTAGCGCAGTTGGTCGTCAGTGGTCAGGCTAGTCCTGCAGCACTCAATGATCAGCTTCTCATCGTTCAACAACAACAGCAGCAAGCTGCCGCTGCAGCTGCCGCACAAGCTGCAACTTTAGTTCCAGCTGCACTTCCTTATCAGTATTATCAGGGTATCACCACCATGTATCCAACACTTGTGCCTGTTCCAAGCAGTGATGCTGCAGCTGCTTATCAAGCGGTTAGTACTTTTTTATTTCTCTTAAATAATTTTTTTATGAAAAAAGAGTAAGCACAGGTAAGTCTCACATTCACACTGATGATGCATAACAAATGTTATTTCTGTCCTGATGATATTTCTTTTGAATCCTCAAAAACTTCGGTTGAGAACGAATATCAAATCAAAGAAGCTACCACAATGATCTATGCTTTCTGGGAATTTGCAGTCCCTGGAAGTGGCAGAACTTTCAAGGAGCATGATTTCCGGAATACGCCCGACACTTGTATGCACATTAAGTACATACGCAACAATAAGTAGTAATTTGGTAGTTGATAATGATGCGTTTCACTTCGTCTAATGATAATATATGCCCTGATAAAGGCCACTACTGACTTTTTTTATTTTATTCTCTCATGCCTTGCAATGAAATAAAATTGTGTGATAGATATAATTCATAGCTTAAAAGTTCAAATTGGTAAAAGTTAAGTAACGCTCATGCGTTCGTACTTCCTTGAGATTACCGGGGTAACTGGAATTAACGCGTGCGTGCAAGTGTTGGAATGTTTCTCATATTTGTCAACCTTTTTTATACTCCTCGAATCTTCCGCCCCTTCTCTTCCCTTCCATTCTCTCTATTGCTAAAAAGTTGAAAATACATATCTCAAATCAGGATTATACGTTTACTGCCTCGCTTCTGTGTACTGTGAGCTCGACCAAAAACGTGTTTTTTCCCTCCAAATAATCTCTTTATTTTTGCGTGTCAGTTTTTCTTTATTTTCTGTTGCTTCTAAGCTCTCTATTACATGTTGCTGCTACTATTTATTATGTAGAATTGGTCATTATTACTGATCATCCATTTTCTGCCATAAAAATGTGTAAATTTCACGTGAAATGAATGTGTTCCTTTTTTTTTCTCTCGAAGCAAAATGCTTTTATGATATATTCGAAAGAAACTGCTTGAAGCATGACTCATTTCTTTACGTCCATTTATTCATCCATTTAAACCACCCGATAATAATAACAAATAATAATAACTTGAACCGAATTGCCAGCTGCGGAAGTAATATCACCTAGGATTTCTGTTTTAAATGTACCGAAATATAGGATTGCATTAATTGTGGCAGTATTAAGGCAGTCACATGGATTTTACAATGTTTAAATGTTTAAACTGTCTTCTAAAGAGAAATCATTAATAAATGTTACGATGATTTATGCAAAAAAAGACCTCACCTTATCGTCTCATCTGAATTAGTTAAATAATATTGAGGACGAAAGTAAATTGCGCATTAACACAAAGTTTTGAAGCAAAATGAAAACTGCAATGCTCTCGTAGTTTACTATTTATGTTGAAAATTCAGGTAATGATCTCACTTGCATTTCATTGATGCTACTTTTTCCGAATCCATCCATACTACTATTGTTACTTTTAATTAAATTAATACGTCAGCGTCTCTGATCGATCTATCAAATGTGCAGGGAAACATTGAAGCTAACGTAACGTATCCAAATCTTCGATCAAATCAATCGTTTTAAATATTTGTCATTATCATGCCTACCTTGTTAGAGATAGTGATTATTGATCGAATTTATCAGGAAAAATCTGATTTCAATTTGCTATTCAGTATTTTCACTTTGGATGATTAAATTTCTTATCTGCCTGTTGTAATGGGGAGTATATACGAATTCTCCTCATCCTTCTCTTTGGCCACTTTGCCTGTAAGAAATGACATACGTGAAGTATGTCTCATCTTGTCATTACTTTATTCAATCATTATCTATAAAACATAATAACTTTTAAGCAAACAATTAAAAGAAATGTATTATGCACGCCGAACTGTTTTTGATGTGGAAATTATTTTTCTTTTTTTTTTGTGTGGTGGCTTCTTAAATATATGTGTGAGTGTGCGTGCGTAGGTGTGCGTGAATGTGTACGTGTGTGTATGATTATTGCATGGCTTAATGCGGCTGTTTATCATCCATTGCGAATATTTCCCTTCCAGCAAGTTCAAGCCCAGCTGATGGCGCTTCAAAATCTTGCTGCTATGTCGCAAGCAGCTACGGCTGCTGCTACCACTACCACGTTGCCACCACAATTGGCTCCAGCTACCGCAACATTACCACCATCGTTAGCTGCGGCTGCTGCTGCTGCGGCAGCGGCGGCTGCAGCTGGATCAAGCGGAACTGCTACTACCGGAACAACACTACAGAATAGTCGAAAACGTGCCTTGGAAGAGGAACAAGCTGCTGCGGCTGCCGCTGCTGGGCCATCAACGGCGCAACAGTTCGATCAGAATTCCTTTCTCCTAGCTGCTGCTGCTGCGGTACCAATTTTCCGTTTGTTTCTTTCTTTCACACACACACGCATCCTTTTTTTTTTCAGAGTGTCGACCCAAAGAAATCATACCTCTTCAACGGTTCCCCGGTACTGACGGTACCAATTTTCATTTAAAATGCATTGGTACCTTCCTTTTAGTTTTTTTTTCTGTTCGTTTTTACACCTTAATTTTGTTTTTGTTTAAATTTAACTTGAAATTTCATTTAATTTAAATTTATTTGATGTCTTCAATCGTTAATTCTAGAGTTCCTTCCTTGTTTTTTTCTCGCCTTCTCACACGATACTTTGTTATATGTTGTGTGCCTTTAAAGCATGAAAAGCTACCAAGGAAGAGAACTTTATGCTCCGCCATCGTCAAACTGCTTCGTTTTTTTCAAGCTAACTTTTTGTTTTTTCTTTTCAATTATTCGAAACCATTTCATTTCCCAACGCATTACTAACTTTAGTATAAAAAACGCATGTTTGGTTCCAGGCAGGTGCTGTCCCATGTAAACGTCCAGCTGCTGAGAAAGGTGGTGTGCCAGTGTATGCAAATGGTGCTACAGCCCAACTTGCTGCTGCGGCTCATGTACCACAAGCTACCTTCAATCCATATTTGATTCCCGGTATCGGCTACATGCCAACTGTGTCATGTAAGTATACTCTTTCTTTTTTATTAACCGTTAAAGATCAGTTTTCCGGTGTCTAATGATGATTAGAAAGTGCAGTTCTGGTGATATAGTATGATCGCACATGGGAACGATCGCTCTTTTCGCATTGCTGATTATTAATTTTGTACCGTTTAATTTAAACATTAGTTTTGCTATTGTTCGAATGATTTGGCAGCATTTAGCGAACACATATAGTATGCCTCATCGTTTTTTTCGATGCTAATGCTCATGTGTCAAGTTTGGTCGTTACGAATTGGCAAAAAGTGTTATCTGAATTGAGCGATAACACCTTATCATGTATCCCTCATTTTTGTTTCACTGTCGCAAATGGGATGAAAAGCTTACGCTTCATTCTAAATTCAACACCTATTCTTTAGATGCACTGTACTGCACAAAATTGTTTGTCGCTGCTTCACTTTTCTCCCAACTTATTGCTACCAGTGATTAAAATGATTTAATGATAAACTTTGCCTTTTCTAACAATTATTTCATCCACATTTTTTCCTATGCAACAAAAATATTATCCATTTAATTTTAAACACTTGATTTTTAAAAATCTCATCTTCCTCTAAAAGACACATTATGATTTCACTGTATTCTAAGATTTGCAATGGAACATAAATGATGTTTCATTCAGAATATCTAGCATAAATAGAAATATCCTCTCTGTGATCAGAAAGTAAGTTAATTATTTGTCATTCTATTACTATTGTCTGCTCATTATCTGTTCATTAAACCTTTTTAGCAGGTTTAGTCAATGAAAATGATTAAGTATGATATATTAAGCACATGAGGAAACCTTTTTTATACCCAAAATAAGCACGGTAAAAGGGGATAGATAATTAGAGAAACAGCAATCAAAAAAGATTTTTATATCGGAACTCCGTTCAGTGAAGACATTGTATTTTTTTGAGAGTACCAGTACTAAAAAATTGATGCCAAAATTGATCAATTTCTCTTTTAAAATTAAAGAAAAATTGAGCATGCCGCTATCGCTGCTTCAAGCCAAAATGCTAATATTTTGCTTTACTTTTCAGTTAGTGGCCAGATTCCTCCACGTTTCTAATGGTATCACAAAAAAAGTTACACTATCCAATACTACTACTACTACTCAAAAACCACCCTATTACTATTGCTATTATTATTGTACTGTTATTATTATTATTCCTACTATTACTATTCCTGTCATAGAAATCAACAACAACACCACCACCACCAACAGCAACAACAACAACAAATATCTTTCATGTCATATACGTATCTCTCGTTACCCGCGCGGTTTGTGCTGCATTCTGTGATCTTTTTTGATGACGGTGATGTTCAAACGTATTTAGTGTTGTTTTTCCTCTCATTTTTTATCTTTGCTTCTTTTTTTTAAAAGAAAATTCTTTTTTCTGGATGATTTTTTTTTCAAATGGTCATTCTTTCCTGTTTCGATGTTTTTATTATGTGTATATGTGTGCGTGTGTGTCTGCGTGCGTGTGTATGTATGTGTACATGCGTGTATATCTGTATGTGTATGTGTGCGTGTGTGTATAGTTAAGAAGAATTTGTTCTTCACCTTAATAAGCATAGTGGCAGGCGGCTTTTTTTTTCGCTCCCACTTCACATTCCAATTTTTTTGCTATGAATGAACGAGATTTTTCAGGAATTTGAAATTAATTTTGAGTTAGTCATGCCAATACAGCAACAACAGCAGCTCGCCCAAAGTCGTTCCTCATGTTGGGAGTAGTGCTTGAAAATCAAAAATACTTGAAAAGGTAAAGTAATAATAGAATACATTTAGTTATAAAATATGATTTTGTTTAATCCTTCTCTCCTACTCTGCTCTTTCCAGATATGCTTTATCGCTTTGGGCAATGTGCTTTAACCATAAAGTGAGGGTAGACTTTATGCCACTTTTTAAATTAACAATTTTTTTAAAGAAATTAACTAACGACAAGTTTAGTCAGGCAGTGGTATTAGCGATTTTTGCATTTTTTTTTTCTTGAACGCTTTGATTTTTATTTTTTATTTTTGCCAGTTTCCCTTTTTAAAAATTTCTTTACTGCAGCTTTCGACAATTTTTTGGATTTTGCATAACAGTTCTAACTGCTAAATATTGTAGAAACTGCTGTAAAATTTTATACTCGAAAAAATAACATAGCAGAATATATAAATAGTTGGAATTTTATTTTATAGTTCTAAAAATTTTTTGATTTTTTGAAAATAACTCAGTTGGTAGATACATACTAGTTTAGAGTAGAGCTAGTAATTAGGTTAAAATATGATTAGACATTATATGATTATATGGAAAACTATGTAAGTAGACAATGCGGTATAATATTCATATCCTAGGAGTGGTTTAAAGCACATTATTAGGAAACAGAGAGTGCTGTTGAAAGGCGGGATTTTTTAAGACAGGAAGAGAAAGAGAGAGACCGAGAGAGAGGGCGAGAGAGAGAGATCTGTCAGGAATCTTTAAAAAAGTACCGTCTAAAGCTTGCTTGCTGTTTTTATACGAAAAAAATTTGATATTTTGTTATGTTGTCAAAGTATATTGAAAATGTGATTTCGAAAAAGAAATGTGCGAAATTCAACCAAGTATTCTTTGCGTACACTATACTAACAAGTGATTTCGGCACAACTTCAACTTTAAATTTGATCTGATAATATGTATTTTAAAAGTTGGGAATCTTTCTGGGAGTATAAAATCACATGCTTGTATGATGTGATAGTGATATTAACAGCTTATATCGGATAGCAATACTAAACGTCACAGTTACTGTTTTCAGCTATGATATCAGTTCACTGAATAAGCTGGCTAATCTGCTTCGGAAATTTTACCGATAATGCTGCTTGCCTTTGCTTTAGTCTTATTGGTTTAGATTGTGAATATCAATCGTTGTTCTCAAATGACTGAAGTAATTACTTGATGGGTAATTAAACAGGAAAAGGTCACAAAATGGCTCTGAAAAGTTTGATAATGCATGCAATAAAATTAAGAAAAGAATTGCAATTTTGCCTATATTTCCGTCCGAAGTCATATTGAAACGTTTGGGATAACTACTAATAATTTTTTTCTTACATGGAAATCATTTTCATATGCGTCTTTTGTATTGGCCTTTGATAACCTTGTCATACCTGCTATAGTTTTGTTTGGGTAGTTTTGGAATGGTAAATACCAGTTTTTTGCTTTGTCTCTTGCAGGATTTTATAAGTAATCAGTTCTAGATAAGGGGAATTAAGAGAGTGTTCATTCCATAACGATTTTTTCATTTTTCTACAACTGCTTCGAAGTTTATCTAGACAGGTTGTTGTGTTGGAAGTTTGAAAACGCTGACATGAATTCTGAGGAATGCCAAGGATCATGGAAAAGTGAAGATTCTAGGGTAATTGTTATAAAACTTCGGTTTTCAGACCTTATATATGGTCGCGGCCACTAAAGTGGTTTTGCTGAAGAGGAAGTCGAATCAATTGGAAGAAATAAATTTGTTGAAGGCTTTCGTTTGGTATGCATTTGTGCTGAAATGATGCTCGATTTCTACGGTTTCTAAACACTGCTACTTTCTATAGTATTTAGGAGATGTTCGGTGTCAAAGGAAAGATTTGTTATATCAAAGTAGAACTATATTTAGGTTTTCATATAATAAAATAAATTATCGTCTCCGTATCGATTTTAGCGTAATTCACCGAAAAAAGGCATTGTAACTGCGAACCTGAAGTTGTAAAACATACTTTATCACTGAGATTAGCAATTGGATAAATCTCTTGTACACACTGTAGTTTTTAAAGTACATTATTATCTGTCTGAAGTTTCAAGGAATATACTGGCTACTTGAAATTCTTATTAGTATTTAGGAGAGAAATAGCTCTTGTTGATAAATTTACTGACAGTGTCCATTAAAACATACTTTTCGATTCGCCTCTCCACGGTAAAAGAAGTGCCTCCATTATATATGTAAGCTGGTTTTCACTGAATTTCAAATCAAAGTGACAGAAGCAAAAAACATTATAGATTTCTGGATTTCCTTTGTCAAAGTATTTGATCGTGAGGTTCTTTCGACTGTTATTGAATTTTAGATATTATTATGCTACTTCGGAAATTGTCATTAAATCAGTTAAACTTCGTTATTTCTTCACGCCTTATCCTTTTTCTCTTCTCGTTTCGACTACTCCTTTAAGATACGCTGTAATTATATGTTTAAAAGCGATCAAATCGATGAAAATAAATTAGACTTTGAATTGATTATTAACTTTTTGTCTTTAAAATCTTTTTTAGATTTTAGATTGCTTCAAAGCTTTTGTGAAGAAAATCTTCGGGAAGTGTTGTCCTTTAATCGTCCTCGGAACATTGTTATAAGAGAGGAACAATTTATCAACCTTCAGAAGTGCCGACAAAAGAATGGAAGAAAAACGAAATAGATTGAAAAGAAGTGCGACCGAAATCTTATCCCTTTTTTTGTTCATGTAGTTGTAGTAGGCTTAAAAATCGAACTTTGTCAATCCATAATTGTTCTTCTTTTCAGTATAGATCTTATATGCAAAATGTTCTTAAGGGAAGAGCCGAAAAGAAATAATTGAAGGTTTTTTTTTTTTGTGTTTTTTTCTTTTTTTGTTGAAAGTTTTGAATGAATTTGGAGGTGGTCTTAAAAGTAACATAATTTGGCCTTACTCTAATAATAAAGAGTTCAGGAAGATTTGTAACTGTGTTATATTATTTGAGAATCTAAATATCACATGCTATATATCCGGGATTAGAAATAATCATTACTACTTTACAGGGTAAAATGACGCTAAACTGATAAGACACCTGCAATATTGAGGAAAGGATGGATGATACATTGTTCTGGCTTTTCAATTATTGTAACCGAAGGTCCTGTAATAACAGTTGAGCTGAACGAAGCAGGGTGGAAGTTGTTAAGCATCAAATCAGAAAATATCGATCTCTTATAAATTCATTCCTTGCAGCTTATATGATGCAATTCGTTCCATGCTTGTCGCATGGTTTTCTGTTATGTATATTGCAGTGAATAAAAAGATTTAATCGATTACAACA